ACAAGCAGCCTGACCTCCCCAGCTGAAAGACTGGTGGGCAAGGCTTGAGACCACTGGAGGAGCCTGTGCCTGTTCGGCTGCAGCTCTGTGCAGTTCCCTTATGAGTGCAAGATGTTTCTCTTCCCCAAATAGAGCTGTTGCCACTGAAACATGAAGCAGGGGTTGTGTGTATTGAGTGTTAGGACAGAGCCATCATTCCAAGGATATTTTTAATAGCAAGGTTTGAAAATCCCCCTCACATAATATTTTGCATGCTGCAGGATTACTTTGGAGTTGCCGTTGGCAGCCTCACATGGTTTGGAGATGCTGTGTTCCCAGGCTGCTCCAGGCGCACTGGCTGTTGGAAAACTCACAAGTCTTTGTCAGTTCAGGGCCAGAAATGGAGTCCAGTTGTTTTGCAGTTGTGCAAATTGCAGGATTTCTTGCATTCCCCGTGTGTGCCTCCTGTAGTTTCAAGCATAGCTGCTTCTTGAAGTGTCACAGTTCCAATCTGTCTGCTGCATCCTCAGGATAGTTTCGTATTTGGGTGAGTTTGTGTGGTTTGTTACCTGCAGACTCGGAGCCAGTTGCAGAACATGGAATTTCAGCTGGAGCAGCAAGTGCAGAGGGTGGTACAGAATGGGTCTCCTCTGGTGAGGGTCTCTCTTTAGGGAGGAAGCAAACTTCCACATCAGGGAGGGAAAAGCTCCTTTCCTTCATTAGGGCACATGGAAGTTTGAATTTGCCCAGTGTCTTTTTAGTAGCCCAGCTGATACCTCTGGCTGATACTTCACTTCTAAGAGGCAACCTTCAGTAATAGAGCTCACCCAACTGTAATATCTTTAAAATCAGGACAGAACCAGTGGCATATGGCAGGAGAGTGACTGGATTGCTCACAGTTTAATGGTCTCTCTAATGAAACAGGGGTTCCTGGTTCCTATGTGAATTGATGTGCACCATAGAGTTTTTAGTGAACTTTATTACTAGTGAGCACTACCAGCGGCTTCAAACCCTGTGTATTCATGAATGGCTAAAGGATTCCCCTACAGTATTAGTGAGAATCATGGAAGAATTTCAGAGAGAACACTCAGCACTGGGACATGGAAACTTTGAAGAGCTCCAACAACTTTGGTCCTCCAAGTGATCCAGGAAACTCAGGTCAGATGCCAACATTTTTTGAGCCAACTCAGAACTTCAGAGGAATGGAAGTCAAAGTGAGTGTCTTAGACACCCCTCTAAATCCTCTTAGTCAAATTTCCTGCACTTATTTTCCTAATTTTAAATGTAACCACTTATTTGCTTTTAGCTCTCTACTTACATTGTGCTGGATGTCAGGATGATCTTTGCTGAGGATTCTGGTGGTGTCATCACCAGCTGAGGTGGCACACATTACATGAGCTCCCAAATGAGGAGCTCTTGCTTTTGTGCTGGCCTTGAACCCAGGGGTGTGAGAATCAAAGTCAATTTTCATTGGAAGGCTTTTTTTTTCTGTTCTTTGCAGTTCAAAGACACTGGTACCGGAGTGTATGCATGCCACAGTAATCCTGCTTCACACATAAAGAATACCATTCTGACAGAGGAAAAAATCTGATGAGTCCACTTCTATAATTTTTTTACCTAAAATGGGGGCAGCGCAAAAGGCAAGTGAAAAGGTGATGTGGTCCCCTGTTTCTGTGGTATCAAAACAGTGATGGTGTCTTCCTGAAACTCCTTGAGAGTGTCAATCTCAAATTTTAGCACTGGTGTAGCACATAAATGCAGTAAAATCATTCTCTGAGTACACACTATACTTTGTATTTACAGGTGTTTGGCACACTCAAAATGAATATATCAAGAGTATTCAGGATAAGAGTGAAACAAGAACATGGGCTGCTGAAATGCACAGCAAGTTGAAACCTGGGAGAAAAGTGTGACAGAGGACTATTCCTGGCCTGAAGAGAAGGTAAAAATTCAAAGTATTAAGTTAAAAAAATGCCTGGGAAAGAGCTGTAGTAACTCATGGTCAGAGGAAAGCAGGATTTGGCTGTGTCACAGAGAGAAGCATCCTTCTCCTGTGTGCCAGATGGATCTTGGCTTCCTTGCTCAAACACTGAACATAGGGTTGGAAGAGGTCACACAAGTGCACAAGGAGAATTGGTAAGAGCAGAGCCACTAGAGTGTGATTTTATTCATAATAGACTTACAGTCTTGAAAGCTTACATGGGGCTGGTTTCTGAAATCTAGAGGTGGTTCAGTCTGTGCTGTTGAAAACTTGTCTTTATGCTCTCTGACGGTCTTTGGTCTGTTGGCATTTTAAACAATGGAGCATTACAGACATTCCAAATGCAATTCCTCGTGTATCCCTAGGTCTGCTTGGTGCAGTAGGTGGGATCTGAGAAAGGAATCTCCTCAAGCTTTGAAAGTTAATGCAGTGATCTTTCAAATCATTACTGAAACTCACTGCTAAAATGTTCTGCATTTCTTTCTAAAGTTGCAGGTTTATACCAATGCATTGTTCAACTTCTTTTCTTGTTTTTAATTAATGTGGAAAATCTGAAGTCATAAAATGCTGTGTGACTACAGGATGTCAGGATAAAACAGCAGGTACAGAAGTGTTTTAAATACCAGGAAAACTTCAATAATTTACTGTTTGAGAGATAGATCTATGTAAACAAAAATTTGCATAGTATTTAACTGGAGCTCACTTGCTAATTAATAACTCTGTATGTTGACGTCATCAATTAAAATTTTAAAGACAGCTATAGTTTCTTGTTACAAATTTTTAAGGGCAGAATAAACAGCTTTCAAGGTAAGTGTCACAAAAAATGCATTCCTGAAATCAAGAGATTTTGGATCAAGCTATCTTTCTGATATATACTGTGCTTCCTTTGTAAGGAGAAATAACTTCTAAATAGAGAGACCTTGGCACATGAGTTGGAGGCAGCTGCTACTGTGGCAGCTTTTCTCCAGCAGAACAGAGCTGGATGATGAAGGCTGCTGTCATAAATGTTCTTCTGTTCAGTGTTGTCTTCTTATGACTACCTGAGTCTTATGAGGGCAGTTATTGCAATCTCCAACTGTGGTAAAAGCAATGTTGACCTCCAAGCCTCAGGTAATTTATTGAAGGAAACCTAGGGAAGCTTTTCTTCAGAATGAATTGGCTTCACTAAAATCACTCACTAGTGATTTAATGGCATGGCTCTGATGAGAGATGAGGGCACTGTACGGAATGAAGTCTAGAACTAAAAAATCTTGTCTTGGTCCCTTCCATTCTGCTGATTTTGATGTCAGCAAATTCATAAATGCACCTGCCACTGGTCATAGTACCTGTCATTTATAAAGAATCTTATTTTCATTCTCTTTGTTGAATATGTCTTAAGAACATTCAATTATAAACTGGCAAGAGGCTAAATATTTGATAATTTTTTTCATGGTAATTTAGTGTAATTTCTTCTGCTTGCTTAAGTATCTAATCAGGAATTTCTATTACCTATTTACTAAATCCAAAACTATAATCTACTTCATAGGAACACCTCAGGCCATATTTTCATCCCTTTCTTGAGGCTTATATGGAAAGGGCAGTCCTGGCTGAGCTGTATGGCTGGAGGGAGCTGCCTGAAAAGCACCTGGAGAGCAAGAACTGGAGAAGGATCCTCACAACAGAACCTCTGAGTGACCTCACCTTGTCTATCCAAAAGATGGAGAGAAGGCACCACACAGAGTTTGGAGGTGAGTGATCTACAGCCACAGCAGCTCCCACAGAGCTCAAAGCCACTGCTGCACTCCTGCCTTGTCCTGCAGCTGTCACAAGGCTCTACAAGTCCCTGTTTTATTGCAGCAATGAAATGCATCGATAAAACAGAGACCTGAATCCTCCCCTGTCACCTGAGTACTTATTGCTGTCGTCCTTCTGAATTAATCTGGATTGTGGATTAATTTGTAAAAATTAGGGACCATTTGTAAAAATGGCAAAAAACTCTGATAGGGATTCCATTTTAACCAGGGAATCTTAATCTCAGAAACCTGTAGTAGTATGATGAACCAGACTAAAATGTGTTACTCTCATATTCCTTGGCATCTAACAGCAGTGCTGGTTGAATCAGAGTGAGGAATTATGGTAGCTGCTCCTTCTTGTACAATGGACATCTAATATTGCAGAAGCTCTTAAATTACCTGTGAGACTGCTCTTTAAGTTAGGTTGAAAATTGCCATTCCTCCTTCTGAATAATAAATACAGTGCTCTCTTCATATTAGAGTGAAATGTATTTTGATTTTTAAAACGGCTATATAAGAGCTATTTCACTCTGGGATTGTCATCTTTTGTTTCATTTCACTGCATTGTAAATTGAGACTTTCTGTCTAAAAATGAAAACAAGATTCCTCATTAGTAGCAAGTAACAGTCTCTTTTACTGATTACTTTAAAATAAGGACAAGGTATTTCAACTATTCCCAGATATTTCTGACATATCACAAAATAACATAAGAGAAAAAGATCATAATCATATTCAAAGCAAAATAGTTTAAAATTTAATGTTTACAAACACATTGCTTTTTTTCTTTTCAGAATATTTGCTGATAGAGTTTTGCAGGAGAATTTCTGTTTGGTGACATACATTTCTGCTCTACACACCATGTTTTGTCCTAGGGGATGAATGGGAAAAAATATTTTCAGACTTGTACTTTGTCAGGAACAGGGATTTGGAATATGACCTCTAATGGGCTTGCAAATTTGTGTCTGTGAACTGGGTACAAGACTGAACATGCTATGCAGCTGACATTTATTTTACACCATATTTAAGTATTCAAAAGAACTGAGGTTGACTTCTTATATATGGATTTTTTGAAGCTTTAAGGCTGCATCACTAACAACATTTTACCAACCTCTTGCCATTTTCCTAAACGTTACAATTACTTTGTCAATTTTAGAATTGCTAGCAGTGATCATGATGCCCACTTAAAAAATTCCAAACCAAACAGAAGAATTCCCTGGGAAACTGCACAGCACATGCATGATACATAACTATAAAACCAGTCCATACTCAGTTCCCACTAGAGCTAATAGTTGTTCTAAAGAATAAAATGCTTGTTATATACAGAAGTTTGGGCAGAGTATGGACATTTGCCAAAGAGCACTGGAGGCTTTTCAGGTCTGAATGGTTTGTAGAGCATTAACACAGCTGCCCCTTTTCCTCATGAGGGCTTGTGCCACCTGTGGGAGGGACCATTCCTGGCACTGTCAATGGGCTCAACCTTACAAGATCTAAGTTCATCTGCTCCTGGCTGCTTCAGCTGAACCTTGCAGGACTGAGAGCCCTTTAGGGCTTGCTTGTGAGCTCTGTGCCAACTTGTAGAGCATTTTCAGATGCCAGTTTCCATCAGGTGAGTGTTTGGTCTTTTGCCTTCAGGACCTTACAACATGAAAAACTGCACCAGCACTTTTCAATGAGCACCATTAACTGACTTTGATAATTTGGCATGACCAGCAGTATTGAAGAAGATGCTGAACTCTTGTCTTGTACAAAAACAAAGTACAGCTGCCAATTACCCTGCAACTACAGTCTGTAAATACTAAAAAACATAAATATGTCAACCATACACATATACACAAAACACAGCAGTAGCAATATTACAGGATGCAATGCCTACTCTCTCTAACTGGTTTTGGTTAATACAGATGCAACAGCAAAATAAATGCTATTTCATATATGAGAACCTTTCTTCAAAGGTCAGTGGCAGTAAGCCATAGCTCAGGTCCAGGCTTTCATAAATCCAATTTGTGACTCACACAAATTAATCAATGAAAGAGAGCAGTATGGGATGATAATAGCTGTCAGTTAACACAAACTGTGAGATAGAGCTTTCTTTTGCTACCATTTGTAATTAATTCTCCCTTTTTCACAAGTGCTCCTTCTGTTGGCACTCACCAGACTTAACAGGAAACAAAGCTATTACATACAATATATGATTTAGGGGTAAGGATTAACAGAAAGAACCAGCCTGAGATTGGATTTCCTCAATCCTGGGAGGTGCTCTCCATGTATTTAAGTGAAATTTCCATGAGATTGCACTTAGCAGACCACTAAGAAGTTGTTGCTCTCCCACTTTTTCTTCTTTTCCATGCAGTTCTGCTTCAAAGTTTTGTAGGAATTGCATGAGAAGGGCAAGAGGAGATGACTGCTGGTTCATTGTCTTGGCTAATGCTCTTCAGAGCAGCGTCCTCTCCTCAAGACCACATCATCTAGTCCAATATCCCCAGTTCTTCCTCTCCCTTTCTCGCCTCTGAAAATAACCTAGAAAGAGAAACAGAACAATTTCAGTGGGGTATGAAAGAAATTACACAGAAACAATTCATTAAAAAGTGTGATGAAAGATTCTGGTCTTCATTCAAATTTTCCTCAGGTCTCCAGTAGGCCCCTCCAAAATCACCACCATTTAGTTACTTTTGGGTTTTAATTAGCTAGACAATAAAACTTCCACATTTCTTCCTGATCTCTCTTTGGCAGAGGCCTTCTCTGGTTACTCAAGAGGGTAAGTATCTGATCTTTGGATGAGTGTCCCAGTGGCTCAGGTCAGCAGCCCTGGCTGCCCATGCTGACAGCTACTGCCAGGGGGTCAGGAGAGGCAAGGGACAGTGCAAAGGGGGACTGCCAGAAGTGAGAAATTTAGGGGGGAAAAAAAGTGTAAGAATAGTTTAGCTATACTGTTCACCTGTTCCAAATGCCCTCATTCTCAGTCCCACACTCACTGACAGCTAACAAAGTCAGGTGTCTTTGCTACTGTTGCTGAGGTAAATTTTCTAGAAAATTATGTGCAGTAATTACAGCCTTAATATTCACTTTAGAGGTAGACACTTGTGTCTGTCTTGTAGCCTGCTCCCATCATGAACTTTATATGTATGAGCTTTTCAGAGCACCTGATATTTAAGTCAAACAGGCCCTGAAATACCCAAGCCACTTCTTCAGATCTGAAATAAAAACTATCTTCAGAAGTTGAAGAATAACATAGAGCTTTTGATACCAGTTTAATCACACAATGTTTCTAAAATTTCCAGGTATTAAAAGATTCTCCATGGCACTTCAGGCACCTTCTTTTCATTGCACTAAACCATTTTGTGTTATGGGCATTGTTAGGTCATCATTCACCTCCTCAGCCTGATCAGCTGCAGGCATGCTAAAAGGCATAAAACCACGTGTGATTGCACTTGTAATCTCCCTGCATTACCAAAAATTACTTATTTTCAGTATCTTTGCCCTGGTTTAGCCAGTTACCAATCTACAGGGGATTATTCTTCCTATTTCATGGCACTGTATTATTCAAAACATTGTTCATGAGGAATCTTGATACAGGCATTTTTTTGAATTCTCTATAGAGCATGCCTCTGTCCACAAGGCTGTTCTTTCCTAGGTGGTGATTCCCTTAAAATGGGCTGTACCAGGTAGCTCAGGAAATGACAGAGTAGCCTATACTATATTTCTATAGCTAAGATTTCTTTTTTTGTATACATAAAACTAATTTTAAAAAATGCACAATAGTTCTCATCTGTATTGTGATTCCATTGGCAGAGACCAAAGTAGTAAAACAGTAAAACTGAACCCACAAGATGAACATTGCAGTGCTGCACCATTTAAGCATCATCAGCTTTTCCATGCACAAACCCAAACAGCAACACAAGGATCAGTACTTACACTCTTGATGCCTGCTCCTGGTAAGGTTATGTGTGTCTGTCTCCAGCCATGGCCCCCATTTCTCCCCCAGACAGCTGGGCCATGAGCACCAGTTCTCCTCACAAAGAGCTGCAGGGCACCAGAGTGCAGCCCAGGCACTTTATGCCTGAAGGACAGGCACAAATCTCCAGCCTGAGCCAAGTGGCCCAAGGGCAGGATAAGATGTGCCACTCTTCCTTCTTTCCCTTTGGGATCAGAGATGGTGAGGTACTGTCCCCCTGCAGTGGAAAGAGCAGTTAGCTGGGGGTTTTTTTGGTGCTTTTAACACTACTAGGTTGCAGGACCGAACCCACAAGAGTTATTAAAAATAAATAAAGGTAAAACAAGGTCCAGAGAGTGCAAAATAAGGCATATAGAACCAGAACCAGTGCATGCTCCCCCTACAGGGTTAGATTTACAGCGCTGCTCTTCTCTACATTAGTACCAGGTTGGGTGTTGCCTATCTAATTTCTTTTTGACAAAGTAAATAATACCCACCTCTCCAAAACTAAAACCTCATGTATTCCATCATTTCTTACAACCCCTTGGTCACTGCATGATTTTAAACCCACAGTGACATTAAAGCACTGTGCAAATTCATGCACCTTTCAAGCTGCAATGTTTTGCTGTTGGATAGATAACAGACTGAATAAATGCTATCATGTAATTGAGCTATGGCTCTGTCCCTTTCCTTTAGTTTGGGAACTGTGTTAACTGGGTAAATCTCAAAGCATATCAATTTGCAACCCTGATAGCCTCTTTTATTCAACTGTAATTTAAACTCTAAATCTGGTAGATAGAGAAAGCAAGAAGCAATAATGATTTCCACATGGCTGTTAACCCCAAATTCTAACAGTAGGAAGTTGTCAGTGAACATACATACTCAATTCCAAACCCTATTATTATCTCTTATCATGTATGAAGTCAAGGTGCCTTCCAGAAAACACTCAGAACATGAGAAGCTAAGGATCTCAGGTATCCATTAAACCTAGAAAGAAAAAAGGCACCTTTCACACCTACACTCAGAACTACACTAAATGAGATTTCACATCCTGGAGAAAACACAGACTTGTATGAATTGTTTGTACTTTTCATTAAAACTTTTGCAAGGTGGGTGAAACCTCTAAAATCTAAAAATAACCAAAGGGAAAAAGGTTCAAAAAAATAAAAAAACCATTAAAAAAAAAAAAGCAAAAAATAAAAACTTATCTTACACTGAATCTAAGAATATATTTTCTTTATGTGATCAGATTTTATGTATTTTTTAATTTAAAAATGCCACCTCTACCTTAAGTTCATTAACAAAGTGGCATTTTTAGGCTCCTTACTTAAAACGAAAGATTTAGAAATATTGGGGGTTTGTAAGATTGTTGACAAACACAGTTAAACAGGATAGAAAAATATTTTTAATTGTGTCCCTGTAACTACTCAAGCAGAGCATTATTTTTTGATAGCTTCTCTTTGAAAGTCACAATGTTTTCCCTTGAAAAGCTGTAAAATTTAATTACAATGTACCATGGCTTGTCACACACTTGAAAGGAAAGCCAACCTTGTCTCCAATGAACTACTTCTACATAAGCTTTTAAGTTCTTTGGTCTGAATGAGATTTAACAAAGTATTACGCTGCTGTCTGGGGCCCTAGATCAACATTTAGCCATGAAGTGGGATCCATTTGTCCAAGGATCTGTTAAAGCCTTTTGGTGGGAATTTTCTCAGGGAGTTTTTTTGGTTGTTTTTTGGGGGGGCGTTTTGTTGGTTTTTTTTTTTTTGGTTTTGGGTTTGTTTTTTGTTTGTTTTTTTTTTTGTAATGCGCTGCTTTTGCAGCAAGGTCACTAATTGCTAAAATAAGCATAATAGACTTTAAATAACTACCTGTTTGCTGAAGATACAATTATACCACTCTGAAAGTACTGACTTATTAAGTGCATCATTTTCAGATAGTTACTGCGGCTGAATCCAATCAATAGGAAACAGATTTAGGTAAGCACAAAGCAAACATAGCTGTAGGCAAGCCCCTGCAGGAAAAGGTCCCCTCAAATCAGCATTTTCTGCGTGCAAGATAAGCTCATAATGCTTCAGCACAGCACCTTTCCAAATGCAGATTCTGATAAACCAACATATAGCAAACTTTGCAAGGTGAAAGCAAGCTGTCAGGAACAAGCTGTGAAAATAAATCCTTCCAACAAGGTATTCCAGACTGGAGGGGGTGGGTGGATGGGTGGGTGACTTCAAGGGACTAGTTTTAACAGGTTATGTCAACAGCAGCAGAACATACACAGGAAATAAAAGGCTGAGCTTGTCCCTGACTACTGGGAAGCAATGTAGGGAAAAAGTCTGACAAAAAAGAGCCAGTTAAAAATCATGGTTCTGGATTTTAGTATATATAAATAACAATTTTTGAGTACAGATAATGAATATGCTTTGAGTGACTGAGATAGAAAAAATGGATTTTTAAATCTTTTGTTTCAAAAAAGGTATGAATTATGTGGTTTTGGGTTTGTTTTTTTTTTAAGTGCCACTCTGCAGGCAGGAGTCAGCTGCCTGTTTTCTCATCGGCAGGAGGAAGGAGCTCTGCTCTCCCAGTCATTCCCAGGGCTTTTCAAGTGTCACAAGGAGCTCCTGAAGTACCAGAGCAGCCTGTTTGGGGGACCCGTGCCCAGGCAGTGAAGGCAGCACTTCCACTGAGCCAGCCCAACAGCCTGGAAAGGTGCCAGGTCACCTGCTGGGGTGGCAAATGACAATCCCATCAGTGGCCAGACAGCTCTGACAGGGTGCTGCATGAGGAAAACGGCTCTCGGTGCCCTCACCCTGCCTCATCCTACCGTGGCCACTGTCCCGCCTGAGAGTGCTTTCCTTCCGCCCATGCTGGGAGCTCTATGCGCTTCAAAGGGACCGCAGTAATCCCGTCATTACGGGAGCCAGGGATGTGTGTCTAATCCCGGCACTGCTCCGGGGGAAGGGGAGCAGGCAAGGGCAGCAGCCTCGCAGTGCCACACCAAAATCAACAGGGGACAAAATGCATCCACATCCTGGGACAGCAGGGCTGGGGACAGGGAAGGGCTCTTCCTGCGGCTGAGCACCAGCGCTGATGCCGGCCTCCTGTCCTGCAAGCAGCTACTACACACTGCCCTCTAACCTTTGGGGTAATGTCACTTTTTATCACCCCAAACAGTCTCTTCTTCAGAAGCGTCTGTGTTTCAGCATTTCACTCGTCTGCCTTCCAGTTACTTGACATTCTTCCTATATACAGATTGATTTTATCAAATTCTACTCTAAGCTACAGCAATCTCTGAAGTTAAACTAGAACATTTTATCTGCAGCAAAACAAAGACTATTTCCAGTATCTTCTATAATTTTGCTAGTGATAGGGAAATAATTATGTTTACATGGTAGTTTGAAAAACAAGCTTTGTTTCACCATAAAAGCTTTGTTCTCTAGTCCACATTTTTTTCAGATTCCTTTAAGACAAACTCTTGCTGACTACATTTACTACTCCTTCACAGAGATTCCTATTTTAAAGATATCAGCTATGATAAGAGCGTAAATTTTCAATTGCTCTTTCACATTGGGAATCCTCAATTTTGCTTTTTATACACAGAAGAGGCATCAGTGTGAAATATACCCCAGAACTAAAGGGAACAGAAGCTGTGTGATTTGTCCTCAAGCAGAACTGTCATCAGCCTCAAGCCTTGGTGGCTCTTCAACTGCAGGATGTGATTGTCCACAGATCACTTACCAGAAACATCTCTCACTGGTTCCCAGTGCACGTCATCATCTTTGTCCTTGATCCATCCACACAGTCCACTGTCAAAATCACAGCTGTGCACCAGCACACCTGGCAGAACAGAGCAGAAGATCACAAAAAACCCTCAGAAATTATTCAGATTGTTTTGGTTTTTAATTTCCCGTGTGACTGACTAGCCAGTGACTAGCAAGTAAGCATAAAAATTAAGTGTAGAAGAAGGAGCCCTAGGAAAAGAATCTACAAAAATACTAAAACAATAAAAAGGACCTTTGTATTATTAACAATCCGTGCTATTTTTGTGGTGAGTTTTTTAGGAAATAAAAGTGTAAGGTTCATATAGAAGAAGGGTTAGTTTTACATGATTTTATAAAGCATAGTTTAAAAGAGGGGCATAAGACATAAGAGTCCTGAGAAATGTATAAACCACCAAGAAATCTCAAAAAATCAGAAACCCTAGATCCTAAACAGGAGACATGGTCTTTACCTGGGTCATCGTTTGCTTCAAATTCATCAGCTGTAATCCCTCGTTCAATTTCAAGTATTTCAAACAGATTATTGCTAACTCCAGGCTGGCGTGGAACTGTGAGAAAAAATGATTGAGATAAGGAAGTAGGTCACTAATTTATCTCTAACAAAAACCAGCAGAGCAGCTCTGGGCACTGTGCTTTTCCTGGAGATTTCAATACATTTAATTATATTCAACACAAAGACTCATAAACTTTATGCCTACGTGATTTATGATTTGTGGTGTAACATTTACCTAAGCACTATAAAAGGGGATTCCAAATCTCCTAAAGGCTCTTCGAATGAAAGCTCCTTTTTAACCAGGGGGGAAAGCTTTACCCTTGAAGCACACTATTCCTCTCCAAATGCCTTTTCAGAGACAGAGGTTTCTCAATGACATAAAGCCACATGAAAGTCCTCACACAAGCCTTCCACAGACATTTACAGGAGAACCTCGACAGGAGGCAGCAGCACTTGGAAGAGGCCCCACGAGCACTTAACCTTTGAAAGACAGCTGAAGGTACATCCATCAATCTGCAAAGGATTAGAGCTCCCAAAACAATTATCAGGGATGTACTGGGAGTTGGGAAGGAGGAGCTCTAGTGGAAGCTGGAATTCAACTGTAATTATACTTTTTGCTTTCCAGCACAGTCTGTGCTTCAGCTGCTGTTCTCAGCTGGAGGAGGAGGAACAGCTCTCAGTGATTAAGGGGCCCAGAGGTTATTAGACAACCTGAAATTTATGAGCTCTTTGTGGGAGTGATGGCTGCCAAAGTCAGGTGGCTACAAAGACTCCCATGTATTTCTGAAAATGCTGTGCCAGTTTGTGTAAGTTTCAAGCAGATTTCTTGCCTGATGGACAGCTGTCAGCCAGAGATAAACAGATTGCACTGAATAGAGCTGTCCTGGAAAATTCCTCTTTTAGAGGCAGGTCTAATGCATAATTCATAACAGTAGTAAAGTGTTTCAGACATGTCCTCAGGTTTTATAGGCACCTCTGACACCTAAGGCACCTCTGACACCTTGTAGGCATCTTATCTATTAAAAACTTGGCATGTTTTCCATTTGCAGTGCTAAAATAACTATTAATGTCTCTATAGAACAAGTGAGAACAAGAAGAATTAAGATAACTGAAAGGACTCTTGTTTTCAGAAAATCAAATCCATGGTTAAGAAGGAACCTCTTTTGCACTAGGTCAACATGAAAATAGCACTGCTACAAGAGCTCCTCTAAAGCCAAAAGATAGAAAAGGAAAAAAAGTTGATATTATGACAAAATAAGCAAACTCCAATGTATATTTAAAGTACTATTCTAGGCTAGAGGTCTTGAATAAAAATTTTATATAATAAAAACAAATAGTGAAAAAGCTCAAAATGTGTAGTAAGCCGATGAACTCCCAAATATAATAGTCATTATTTGAATCACTAGGTCTTCCTTTTTTTTGTTTTCTTTTTAGCCCCTTGCAGATTTTTGATTAGGTATATTTGCAGTCTAGGATATTAATGCTCAAAACAGCTTCAGATTTAAGGCTGGGTATTAGAGGACTGTTAATTTTTAAAGATACCTTGATTGTAAATAGCATTTTTGCTGCCTTGTTTCACCTGGATTGCTTTGCTTTAAAACCTTGAGCTTTAACATGAAAGAAAATTCATAAATGTGCACAGTCCCCACAACCTAGGCCAATAATTGCCTTGCAGAACATCTATGCACAAATATTATATAAATCCATTGTTCACCCTGAATGATGCAGGTGGGGCAGTTGAACCAGCACATCTATGCTGCACACACTGGGAGCACCACCTTGCCTTTCCTCACCTCACACTGTGCCAAGGGAAGAAGATACTGTTTGTTTTCTGTGCTGTGGAGAACAAATCAGCTTCAGAACTGAGCACAGCACAGCAAGCACCAAAGGCTCAGACCACAGGTTCACAGGCAGGTAATGACAAGGTTTTAAATGAGCACTGTGGCAAAGAGCATGAAGGAAACTCTCTGCCATGCTCGAATGTTTGTAGGATACTCAGGGGTCACAGTTTTAAGGTACATGTTCCTGCACACTCTCTTCCCAGTCTGTCACAGTCCTTGTTTATGGAAAATACTGCAAAAAATATTAGGAACTTATCTTGTAAACTACTTCAATTTACTTCTTCAAGTACCACTTCTAATGCATTGATGTTTTCTATAAGCCTGAGTTACATCTGTGCACACACACAAGAATTCTCCAAACTGAAGTTGACATATCTGCCAACAAGTAAAGCTCTGCAATTTTTTTTTCCCAAAAATTCCCTGAGAGTCCCTTTCCACACACTTTTTTAACTAACTTCTAGAAGAATGTGTTGTAGTGCTTTAATAGAGTCACTTCAGTGCTTGGACCTAATTACAGGAATGTACACTCAATTTGAAACAAGGGTTACCATAAGAGATGCAGGACTCTAAATATGACCCACATGTACACTTCTTTTTGCCACGACAACCAATAGGTTCAGTGGTGATCGTGGGAGAAAGTATTTGGTACAATTATTTTCTGTAAGCTTTCCAAGCCCTTTCTGTGTACTTTATATAGCGTATCAGTGTGCTTTTCACTTAACTTCAATGGTTTGATAAAGCTTGTTAAATAGAAACTTGGCTTCTTTTACTTGAAGAATTTTATAAGCTCTGACTGAGCCAATACACCCACACTGCCACATTCTCAAAGTTCATGAGCTAGCTTCTTCATAGATGCACAAATCTGGGGGGAAATATTAAATAACTGTAATTATTAAAAAATAAATAAGAGTGATTTCTTTTGGGCTTTTTTAACGTTTGGGAAAGCCATAGAGCTTTTTTTTATTTACTTGCTAATTGCTGAGATTGGGAGTATAAGAAAGTACATGTATATATATCAGCTTGTTTACAATAAACAAATAATTGCTGTTTTGGTGTTACAAAACTAAGACCTGGACTGCAACTTCATGTTATTAGTAACTCTTATTACTATTAATAATGCAGTTCTCTGGCTTACAGAAAAAAACTGATTTTGCACTGTAAGTACAATTCCACTCCACACAGTAATCATGACTATCTTCCCATTCACTAAAAACAACAACAAAAAAGGACAAAGATTTTTTGACTGAATAGTTACGACTGAAAGCTGTTAAATCTCGCTTGCAAAAAACTCCCACCAGTGATGAGATCTCACACACAACTAGTAGAAAACAGCTAGAAGTAAGGGTAGTCCAGAAGTCAGTCAGACTGAGAAAACAAGAATAAGTTCTGCTTTTCTCCAGGGAAGATATTGATATATGCTGGGCTAAAAAGAAGAGGCAACAGAGAGGCACATTTCACCCTTTTGTTCAGACACCCACAGTGTCCAGAAAATATTTCTTAAAACTCCACAGATTCAAATTCTGCAGTAAGAGTTATTTTAGGAAGTGCTTTGATGGACTATGCCACCCTCTCCAGCACTATTTACGTATGAGGAGAGACACAACAGTCTCAGTATGCCACCACTCTACAGTCCAATCTTGCATTTCTTGGGCAATTACAAGGCTCAGTAAGTTTTACCAAAATCAAGCATCTTGGTATTTACCTTTGCAGAAGGTTTTCTGCAAAGTGACCTGCCTGCTTTTGTATGAACATCCATTTGGGAGGTGCAGAGTGCCAAGTGAGTTTCAGAGAAATACAGCTAAAACAAGGAGTGAACAGAAACTTGCATATCAGATCTGGGGACAAAACCTGCTGGAAGATTGACTGAGGGTGAGACTGGTAAGACTCCTAGATTTCATGACTGAACTCCAGAGTACCAACAGGAACAAAGCACCTATCACTTATGCTTAAATATAAACACAAATACATTTTAAAAGGTGCCAGAAAAGTGAAGACAAATGAAATACTGTTGTAAAATAATGCTAGTCTAAGGATATCAAGGAATAACAAACCCCCTCTTCTTTGCTATTATTATTTCCCTTTTTTCAACAGCTTCAAGGATCACAAAAATGCACTTACAGCACTAAGGACTTTGCAGTCACTGAAAGGGAGAAAAGAAAGAATCCAGTTTTAATCAGTTTTTTACATTTTTAATAGCTGTTAAGAGAAGCATTTTCTAACTCCAATCTTTTCAGCTCCACTAAGAGCTAAGAAGGAAAACTGCTGAACTGTCTTTTAATATAAATAAGGGGGTTTGTTGTTGCTATGCTGATATCTAGCATTATGCTTTAAGTTTATGCTTTTAGTGCTTATCACCCAGATCCCAATGGCAGCAGAAATTCACAGTCTTATTGAGAAGTTTGTTCTATTTGTTAGAGACTTATAACTAGAAAAGATTCCTCTGTGCTTCACTGTAGTTTGTATCAGTGCTGAAATAGTTAAATATTAAGCTATCACTGCATTCCTCTCTCATTGCCATTCCCCCCATATCCATATCAGGAGAAGATTATCCTTGGTGCCAGATTCCACTGTCTGCATCTGACTAAGTGGTTCAAAGGCCAAGTGTAGGAATTCCATGTTAAAAAATACAATTTTTTTTTGTTCTCTAAAAAAAGCACCTCCCCAAAGTCACTGCAGGCTTTCTTAGAAAAGGAGTAAAGCATCTAAAGAAAAGCAACAACCTAATACCTTTCAAAAATTGCAAAGGCATTTAAATAAAATTATCAGCATTTTTATCATTTGTGCTCTTTGTCACTGCTGAAGAGAGCAATTTCTCTGATCCTCAGCTCATTTCAAGTTGAGCAGCATATTCAAGAGAACTCTAAAGTGAAATCCTAGGTCAAGTTGACTCAGTGTGTGGAACAGCAGGTCAAATAACAACAAAGGGGGAAAATAGGGATCAAGGAGTCACCAAGGGCACCCCAGGAATAGGTTAACTAACAAAAAACTAGAATTTGAGAGATGCTTGAAGAAAAAAGTCTGTTTGGCCCAAACATGTCTCCTCTCCTGATGTGGACCAATCCTAGAACACTGGGATTTGGTCTAGGACATCTGTGCAGCAGGCAATGGCCCCTTTGCCATTGACTATCTGACAGAAGTACCACCTATTCCATGGCAGAGCAAAGCAGTGTTGCTTCCTGCAAGTCTGGCTAAGGCTGCAGAGCCCCATGGGGAAAAAAGAAAGGGAAATGTCCACGACAACCTAGATGAAAGCACAACTTTGAGGTCTTTAGCAGATGCTAATGGCTGTGTCTAAAAAAAGACTGGACATGGCACTCAGTGCCATGGTTTAGTTGAGGTGTTAGAGCATGGGTTGGTTTGATGATCTTGAAAGTCTCTTCCAGCCTAGAGATTCTGTGAATTCTTTGAGCACAGAACTGCCAGTGGTTGCTGGTGCTCTCTACGCTGGGTTCTCTCCATCCCTGTGTGATAAAACACTACCTTTTATGACTCTTTGGAATACAACAACCCTTGGAGACACAGGAGGAAGCAGACACCTAAGATGACACAAATTCTTTTGAAAATTTACAGAACTGAGGTTAAATCCTAGTTCATGACCTGAGTGGATCTAACATTGATTTTCTCCTCTGTTTTCCAAGAAAATAAGAGTTACAAGACTACTAATTGCTCTCTGTATTCTCTAGTGATAAACAAAGAAAGGCAGAAAGAGCAAGGCTTTTCCTTCTCTTTCCAGGCAGGCTTATGGGGACCACAGTGCTAATTCATTTTCGAGAACTGGCTTCTTTTTGCTGTCTCATCTGGAGAAGCAGTTGATGTGAGGAAATGAACCTAAAGAAGCTCAGTATAAGCAAAACAAAATTAGCTCATATCCAGAATCCAGGAATACTACAAAGATGTCTGATGTAGGTGAGACTAAAACAGAAACAGCTTTAAAGAAGCTGAAGGAAATAGTTCAAAACTCCCCGTCCCTGAAGAAATACAGAGGCAAGTGAAAAATCCAAAAATGTTTTTGGAGGTGGGGAGGGCTTGGCACATCCACACAGCAGCTAAGAAGCAAGTTGAAGGTTAGCTAAATGTTACTAGTTATTTCAGTTTGAAATCCTGTATTGTCTTAACACCATGGTTGTTACCATTGTGTCTGGCTGTGAGGAATGATTTTGGAGAGGCACAGGCTTACACTTGGTGGGAGCACTGCTGTCCTGAGCTCACAGTGCCTCACCCTGAGCAGCTGCAGCCAAACAGAGCCAGGCACTGCTCTCCCACAGTCCTGGAGCAGGAGCAGGGCTGGCCAGCAGGAGCCTGAGCTCAAACGCCCCGCACACAACACCTGTAAGCTAACGTGAAAGGCGTTTCAGGTAACACACCTCACTTCACTCTGCCATGGGCCAAGAGCACTCATGCAGCCAGGTCTGCAGCCCAGCTAATGCCCAGGAATGCAGCACCTGCCATAATGCTCCCATGCTGCTGAACCCTGGTGTGATGGCATCTGGGGATGTCCAAGTATTTCTGTGTTATCCTTACAAGTGCACTACTGAGGAGAGGCAGACCCAGGCTCTGTGTGTCCCACTGTAGTAATGTATAAGGGCTATAACTTTTCTTCCTGCTTTTCTATATGTCCCACATGAGGAAAATAACTTCCCCACAAACCTCTGCAGTAACAGGATTCAAGAGGTGAAGAAACACCCTACAAGCAATGCTTTCTTTGAGAAAGTAGCACGTTCTTCTGAAACTGAACTGTTTTGCACTAAACTGTAGGTTTCAAATCCTTACCAAATGCTTTTGAGCACTCCCAACACAAACACTTCTACACAGAGAGAAAGTAGGAGAGGACTCCAGTGACCACTACCTAGATGATACTTTCAAAGTGTTCAGAAGAGAAAAGAGAGGAAAACAGAGCAGAAAGCAGAGTGGAAAGGAGAGAAAAAGATAAGAGAGAGGAGAGAAAAAGACACCAGCTTCACTGAAGAGCACACTACTAGCATCATCGGGAGCGCAAGTGGAATAGGCTTCCAGGCACAGTTACATCACACACGTGTATCAAGTGTGTCTCTTGCTGGTGACCCAAAAAAATTATATGGGATTGAAGACAGACATCTGTTGACCTGATCTGAGGCCTCTCTGTCCCTGTATTACCTGCTGAGGCCAGGAACAGTTGGTGCTTGACCCGTTTTAGTCCTGCTGTGCATTGAAGCCTTTGAAGCTGTGTATGTATATCACAAACCTCAGAGTGTGACAGCTGACCTAAACCAACAGCTGATAAACACTTTGCAAAGGTCCTGTGTTTGTTATATGTACCACAATGTAAGCTGCAGTCAGACCAAGCCAAACTTCAAAGGCTTTCACTTTCCTATTTTCCAAACTCCTTTATCTGAAACACATGTATTGAAAGCAATTGAAAGCACTAGCTTCAAAATCCCTCTAGGGACAATATAGAAAGACTAATTGTAAATAATAAGCTTTACATAGAGGATTGTTATGACTTCACAAAAATTCAGAACCCTGAACACTAGCCCTCTGCTTTAGTATTCCAGAGACCACTCGCAACATGAGAGAGACACGTGGGAAGCATAATGCTGGAGTCTACAATGATTTCCACAAAACTATATTTTTAACTGTTGGGTCCCATTAGATTAAGCTTCATAAATCTTTATTATATTTCCTTTTAAAATTTCACTTAAACATATGTCCATATTTTTAATTGAATATGAAGCCAAAAGTACACTCTACTAAGCAGTACCAGGATTTGTCTTCTAACTTTTGTCAGCTTCACTCTCCATTTTTTAACTGTCTACAACAGATAAAATGTCACAGGGAAAACTCTTTTACAAGGAGCAAAATATTTCACTGAGTAATGACCTGGAACAACAAAGCCCAAGAAATTACCACATAGATGCCAAAGCAACCAGAAAAAAACTCCCACATTGCTTGTGCACCTGCTCTGAGACAGCAAACTTTTCCTCCTACTACATTGCTTCAGCAGCTTGATTGTACAACAAGCTGGAGAGCTGATCCAACACACCCTCCCCATCTCTAAAATTAGCCACAGAACTAAAGATGAAATCGGGTGTTGAGTATTTCTTGGCAGATATGCACAGCTCTGTAAGTGCCAGTAATGTCTCCTGTGGTATGCACTAAAGCTGGCACAATGGTGCTGTAGACTTCAGAGGAGCTCCTAAAGTTACATGTCTTCATGCTATGAGAATCTTTACTATCTTCAGCTTTTCACGTATCCCTTTCCACAGATACAGTCCAGAAAATTACCCTCTATGCTATTTTTATGCATTTTTCCCATTGTTTAGTCATGAACATCTGAGACTATTTGAACCCATACAAAAGAGGTCACATAGAAGTGTTTAGGTAATAGGGCATGATCCCATTTCTTTACCATTCTTAAAACTATGGTAATACTTTGTTTAGGAGGGACTCTGAACTCTCTGAATTTAAATCCATTGACTGCTTTATGAGTTATGTTGTACTTCAATCTTTTTCAATAAAATGTCTGTCATTTCTTTAAAACCTTCATCTGAAAGCATAATTACATACTTCTACAGGACAATAGACTCAATAATTTCAGGGGGAAAAAAATAAACACTTTTTTGATTGATTGATTCAGAACTTCAGTCTCAAACTTTTGTTAGGTAATAAAATCAACCACTTTTGCAGCCTTACCATATAACCATTTTCAGTTTCATTTATTTGTTCTCAATGGTATAGTGTTCCAAAAATCCTAAACAGTATAGTGCATGCTTTCATCTACAGCCTTGCTAAACAAAGGCATATGGAAAATTACTTACTGAACACATCTCCTCGGGGTTTCTGAGGATCTGGCTGGATCCTGTTGTCATCTATAACTCCTTGGGAAGTTGTAGTTTCAATGGGAACATGTGCAGGCTCTTCAGTTGTTGCCAGAAGAGTTGTTTGTGGTGGTAGTGTAGGTGTTACTGTTGTAGGCTGAGGTGTTGTTGGAGGTGGAGGCTTCACCACTGGTGTTGTGACTGGCCTTGTTGTCACTGGCACAAATCTTGTGGCTGGCTTCGGTGTCAGTCGAGTTGTCCTGGGTGCAGGCTGAGTTGGCCCAGGTGTAGGACGAGCTGTTGGCACAAGTGTAGGACGAGCTGTTGGCACAGGTGTAGGACGAGCTGTTGGCCTGGTCACTGGCCTTTCTGTAACAAAAGCAGGTACAGGCAGTGGTCTGAGGAGTTGTGCCTTCAGCATCCACAATCCTGCTCATTCTACCCCTGCCTCCCTCAGGGAGAGTGCAATTGGTCTTGAATATGTGATATGGACCAGGTAGTTCAATCAGAACAATAGGAATAACTGCAAAGAGAATCAAAATGGGACCAAAATGGACATCTCAGCCTCTCACCTCAGAAACCTAACAATCTCTTTCATTGTGACACAGAAATACTTGGATGAAATAAATTTTTTTCTTCTGAAGGTTTCCAGTTAGAAACATACTTTAGCATCAGCACTGCTAAATTATCACATCCCTTTAGGTTGTACTTGGCACTGCAGCAGTTTAGAGATAATTTAGAATGACTGAAGGTCAAGACACTTCCATCCCACATCCTCTCCAGCATCAAGTCTCTTTCAGAGTAGGCAAAACTTACACAAAAGCTTGCTGGTTAAAAAAGCATGGGCAGGAAGCCATGGGTTAAGCAGCCCCCTAAACTGGACAAGTCCATAATCAGGAGTGGAAGCAAGTTTATTAAGACCCCGACATTACAAGCATTTTGATCACAGATGGCCAGATACCTTTGGATTAAGAAAATTCTTGCAGACCTTTCCTTCTAAACATTTCTCTTTGTTAATAAGCAGAATTATTTTAGAGACTGAATGAAGTCAGCCTTCATTTAGATCCTTCTCTTTGCTAAACACCAGGAAACTAAGACATTTTTCAGTCTTCATAAAAACAAGGTGCTGGACTGAGCACCACTTTCACCCCAGAGACAGTGCCCACAGTACCATCTCCTCCAATGTTTCAGAAAGGGCAACAAATTTTAACTTAGTCTCACAAGGGGAGTTTCTGAAGACATGAAACACAAGAATATGTTTTATTGTTTTCTATTGGTTAATGAGCCTTTTACATCTCACCGGAGATCTTAAAAGCCTCAGTAAGAACTCTAGTCACATATTTTGTGTATAAGCATTTCAAGTATAGCACACAGTTAAAATGAAGAACTACTGTTTGTTAAACAGTGAATTGTTTGATGATAGCAGGTAAAAATGTTTTCCCTCTGGCCACTTGTTTATTACTATCTCTTTGAGTACCCTGCAGTTTTGACATTTATAGTATATTAAAATATAAAACGCCCCTTAGGACCATGTCCCAGTAACACACATGAAATGTGCCCACATATACTTGCAAGCACTCAGGATGTGAGAGAACACCTTTTACCATGACAGCTACAGCTGAAGGGGAAAAATGGTGCTGCTCTTTAAAGAGATCAGGGAGTCGCCAAAGACCCACAAAGGAATGCAGGATCAAAAAGATCCAGCAGATGTCATGGAGCTGCACACTCCTGTGGGACGTCAAACATGGGAGAGCTCCAACACCTTATTCTGTACCAAGGGGGTGGCTGCTTCTCCCAAGAGAAAAGTGGCCAAGGGAATTTTCCAACAGCAAATCCTTCCAGAGAAACCCTCCTTCCTGGCTCTTCTCACATCTGGGAAGCAGCAGGGAGTGGATGGGGTGAGCTGCTGAAACAGGCCAGTTGTGGAGTGTACATAACAACAGGGCATGAGTAATGTGCCTTGTTTGATCAGACCTACCCCGCTTACTCAGTTGCTCTCATCCTGAAGCAATCTGTAGAATCAAGCTGTGAATAGGGAGAGGTGAATTTCTTTCTAATTATGAAAATGTCTCAGGGAAAGATATTTTTACCAAGGCCTGTTAAGACCTAGAAAACTCCAAATACATTCACCAGCCCTTCATTTAGTATTAAAAATAGTTAAGAGAAATTGAGCCTGACAGAGCTGCACCTTAAAGTTTACAAAATGGGACACATAAACTTTCAGAATCTCTATTTTAGAAGGAGCACTACATACGTATGCAGTTTGTTCCATTGTCTCTGTACCCTTCTTTACATTTGCATTTGTAGGATCCTGGAGTGTTGTAGCAGTGTGAAAAGCTACCACACTGGTGGTGGCCAAGAGCACACTCATCTATATCTGCAACAGAAAATTTACATTAAAAAAATCGTTTGCTCCATAGAAACCTGACTTTCTGCTTATACCTGCAAAAAACCCCAAACATTAATACCATTTTGGTTATATAAAAAAAAAAAATAAAGCTTTTGCCAGTGGGAAAAGGAAAATAGACAGTCACAAATCAATGTGGTAATGCAAACATTAGGAAAAATAGGGACTATTGGGAAACTTCGGTATTGCTCAGCTTTTACCTTAGCATCAGCTTCACACATGCCATAGGTAGATTACAGCTGAGATCTTTAAGATCACAATTTAACAACCACTTCTTACAGGTGAAAAAAAGAGTGTAGGAATATGCGTATTGTTCATCACACAGATATTAAATTGGTTTTTCTTCATAAAATTCTTTCTATATTGTACATCTGTATAGATGTTTCTACATCAAGTAGAAACTGCTGGAAACATTTCGTATGCCATATCCACATTTATTGTCAGTGATGCAAGCAAAAATCTCCAAATTCTAACACTCTGAATACAAATTTCTCTGAAAAAAAAAATAGTTAAGCAAACATAAATTATCTTTCACTGAAAAAAATGATCTTTTTTTTCAGTGAAAGAATGATAACCAGTTGAGACCCTGTGAAACTAAGGCAGAGAGACCTCGAAATATCTTCGTTGAAGGGCATACACCAGCTGCATTCCAGTCTCATGTCCAGACAAAAACAGGTTATTTCCCAACTCCTGCCTCTTCCCCACCTGTCTGCAGGGGAAGGAAAGTTGGGCAGTCTGGACTGGGAGGGGGTAGGGTGTGCACATTTTCTTATCTTGGATCTTGGGACATGCTATGGAGCACACCAGTGTTACAGCTCAGACACAGCCTTAGCTCATACACTGCTCCAAGCCTACAACTGCCAGGAAGAGTGAACCCTGAGGAAAAAACAGCTTTGGAAAGGAATTCCTGCGGTCATCACCTCTGTTCTCCCCACTAACTTCCACACAAGAACCAGTTGCAAGAATGTGGGCCAAATACATGCCTTCTCTTTCACAGCCTATTTCTATAATCCACCCTTTCTTAAAATACCAATGCAGTGTAAAACAACCTGCTTATTTCAGTCATAATAAATAAACATTCCTCTTTGAGCATTAATTTAATTTTCAAATACACAACTCTATTACATGCATGTGAGAAATAGCTTGTTATTACCATGGCACTGGTATTTGCCTCCAATGTACATCAGGTCAAAGCCTTTATGACACCTGCAAATGTAGCTCCCGAAGGTATTGACACAGTGCCTGAATCGTGGGCAGAGAACCCTCCCAGTAGCACATTCATCAATATCTGTGGAAACAAAGGAACTGTATTATTCTTAATAACAGTTAAAATACAATGTATGGTGTCTGAATGAAACTGGTTTCACATAATGGAAATAGAATAGCCAAAGTATTTTTTATATGGGCCCTTGGTCAGCCAGCAGTAATTCTTGAGGACTTCTGGCCGTGCCCTCCAGTTCAGCTCTGGGTCACAGGCAGATGCCCAGGGAGCAGCTGATGCTCACCCACTGCTGCTCTCCCTGCCTGGGGAGCTCTCAGACGAGGTCAGGCTGACACACAAAAGCTGCTTGTGCTGCCAGTCACTCTGCAGCTCTTGGACACCGAGCAGAAGCTGCTGAGTGCTCAAACACTAATTCTCCACTGAGGTACAGACCTGCCATGCCTGGCTGCTTCTGACGCACACAGCTCCTCGTGTTTGCTGGTTATCTACAGGGCACAGTTCAAGCCTTTGCTCTGCAGCTCTATCAGGCTCTTGATCTATGGGAAAGCAAGATTCTGCTCTCCATGCAGTTCTTTTCCCAAAAGGAGCCCTTCAGCTGCCGATGTCAAGAGTGCAAAACAAAGCCGAATGATTGATGCCCTGCTGCTCTTGTGAAAGGGGCCTGAACAAGGCAGAGCCTCCTCCAGTGCACAGAAAATATGTTACCACAAAGCTGCTGGTTAGTTAGGGCAGCTACCTGAGTGGGGGAGATGGAGCTTCAGCTTCTCTCCAAGCTGGGCTCCCACAGCCAAGAGAAGTGACTTAAAGCCATGAATTACTGGCCAGATGGGTCATCCCAGGAGCTCTGGCTGGCACTGTCCCACTCTGCATGAAGAATTACTGAGGACAGCAGTAAAAGGATTCAACCCCTGAGCTCCCACACTCCTGGCCCGCCTGACTGCTCTCTCTCCACCAGGAGCATTGCTGGAATGGTGCAGTAAAGGCCTCAATGGGAAAGAAAACAAGGCCAATACTGGGCACCTCTCCACATGCCTGAATCTTCCTATAAATCTGTCTCTTGATTTGAATTTATTGTTAACATTTTAGGCTTTGAGTATGCTACTAAGTTTTACAAACTCTACCATGCTTCTTATTACAATTTAATCAACAAGTCACAATTTTCTAGCCTTTATTAAAATATTATTTCAAGGCTGCAAGTTCAAGACTCTTGATTACTAAGAGTTAGTTGGGGTTTTGTTGGTTTTGGTTGGGTTTTTTAATCTTTAAACCACAGCTTCAAAAAGTAGTTCAGTAAGAACAAGATTAGCCACTGAATATACTTCATCATGGAATGGATTATGATCTTTAAAAACCTAATGTAGCATGTCCTGCTTCTTCCTCTGTACATATTCATATTAATTCACATTTTTGCAAATACACATAAGGCAAAAATTATGTTAAATTATTGCAGCAGTAGTAGGCAGTTATATGTCCTAGAGATACGTGACAGAACTGTTAATCAACACACTGTTCAAAACTGATGCAAAAATACGGAAAAATGTAACAGCTTTCCACTTGTATATAATGGAAGGTGCATGGATGCCCATCGCTGAAGGTCAATCCACTTTTTGGTCAGTGGCCACAAGATGATATGCTAGTGCTTGTGATCAGTTTGGTGCAGCTCCCAAACAGTACAGTGACTGTGGCTTCTTTCAAGCCAATCCACGCCTGGACCAAAAGCTGTGGAGCTGTTCCCCTTGGCCTGCTGCAACGTGCTGTGGTTCGTATGTGCTTCCTGTGAAAAGCAGGGCATGGAGGGGGGATTTGGAGCTCACATCAGCATCAGGGAGCTGCTCCAAAGGCACATGAGGCAGTGTGATGGTCAGCACCTAATCAGTGTGAGGGTCAGTGTCCACCAGAGAAGCAGAATTGCTTCTCTCTCTTGTTGCAAGTATGACCAGATTACCAAGCACAAAATAACCTAAGACTAATTTTAAAATAGCATCATTTTTAGGTTTACAAGGCTGTATCATCAATTTTCTAAACACACACAAAAAGGAAATAATTAATTTTGTAGTGAAAAATCATTATTTTCAGCCTTCAAATAATTTCAGAACATTTGAAGATGAAATCTGTATATGGCTCATTTCATTAAATTAAAATCCCAACCCAAAAACCTGGCAAGACCAATTGATTTATTGATTCAAGAGTCATTAATCAACTAATTAGCTGTTTAATCCACATTTTCACCAAGTACTTTGCTGAATTATTTTTTTCACTTTGTTGTCATTTAGTTTATATGATTTACCTTTATAGCCAAATTGGTGGCTCTTTGCTGATTGTCTGAAAGGAACATTTTAAACAAGGGAATGCTCAGCAAGTGTTAAACTAAGAATAGAATAATGCCCAGAGGAATTTCCACCTGTGCTAAAAATAGGCATTGCATTCCCAGCTGTCTTTCAGACTTTCCTCAAACAAGGATCTCATGAGCTGTAGGCAATGCACACTTCAATTTTCTTACCACCACCTACATTTTATTTGTACTGCAGCACTATCCAGCCCCTTGCTGGAGCCAACAACTTCCCCAACAGTGACAAGCTTGTACAAACATGAGGGAAAAGCACAGCCTTAGTCCCAAGTAGCTTCAACTCTTTGAGGTGTATTAACTGCAATTCAAACTTGAAAGAAAAATAACACAGAAAGGGTGCATGTCATAATCACTTCTTACCAAAAAAGGGGAGAACATTATGTTACAATGCAGGAAGAACAGACATCTCTTGCTGTAACTATTTTCTCTGTATCGTACCAGGCTGCTCTGAAATTCTTGTGGAAATTTTAGAAATAGGTTATGAGGTCATTCTGAATGATGCATACCCAACTAAAATGTGGGTACACAGTTCTTTGCCTTTCTGGGGAGGAAAAAAAATAGTTTTTTTGAAAACTGCACTGAAGAACTCCAAGAGCTTCATAGTACTGGTTTGAGTGCTAGTCTTTGGCTTTAAAGTACACTTTGTTTATTTCAAAGTATGAAGTTTTCCTGAATATAAAAATGAACACTAGGAGAACACTGCAAGCATTTTTTCTAGCAAATTTCTTTACTTGATGTAGCTTTCTTGAATTTGTACCTAAAATCATTCAGCTTACTATGGCATGGCACAAATATCTTTCAAAGATCTCTCTGCCATAATATCCACAATAGGACTTATCACAACTTAATCCCCTCAGTATGCAACAACAGTAGATCCTGTTCTTTCCCTTTTTTTCCATGCACAGATGTGCCAATCTTGCACTTCAGAAAGCCTCTGACTTGGTGTGGAGCCTGCTCTTCCCATCAGAAGATACAGAGTCTGTCCCTTTCTCTGCCAACAAATTTTTGGTCACCATGGGTCAGGCACTAGGAGAAACACCTACCCTGTGGTGAGCCAAGATATCCAAAGGGATGATTAGGACAAGCCCATTTTCTTACATTCTTTCAGTGTTACTGATGGAATTGTTATAGAATTGTAGCACTTCAGAGAATACAAATAATGAAATCACTAGAGCATCATATCCCACTCAGGATGCATAGTTAATGACTGATGAAATCACATGTCACACTGTTCTTCAGACCATAGTAGAGTCTGATTAACCATAAGCACCTTTACCATGTTCACAAATGTGGGAACAAAATATTTCACTTTTATACACTCTAAGTTCCTGTGTTTATTTTAACCTGGAGTTTTCACAGTATGGAAGAAGGGCAGCACATTCAATCCCACTAACACTGGGAACATGCAGAGACCTTCACCTTTCCCCACTAAAATATCAGTGATTTTTACAAATTAATCCACTGAGCTAGGCACCACCTTGTTGAGTATGAGGGAAAGGTGATCTCCTCATTCCTTTTTTTATGCAGGCAGGTATTTTGGAGTTAACAACAGCTTAAAATGACCCAGTAGCAGTAGTGGCAAGGGCCAAGGGCTTGGATACCAAGGAGTTTGTATGGGCTTTAGGCAGACAAGTTTCATTTCCTGCAATGAAACTTGCAGGACTGAAAACACTGGCAATCTCTGACACGAGGGCACCTGAGCAACAGCCCTATTACTACTCTCATTATTAGCAACTTTAAACTGCCTGCTCTATGCATTCTAAGTACCTCTGATAAACTCTCTTGAACTGCATTCTGTGCTAGGGTAAAAGCATTCTGGAGAAAAAAAATTAAAATTTTTAAATCTCCATTGGATCACGTACCTACACAAGTCCTGCCATCAGGCCCAAGCTGCAGCCCCGGAGAAGGACAGCGGCAGCGCACCTCCCCTTTCAGCACGTCACAGCCATACTGACAGTTTGCCATCAGGCAAGAAAGGGCATCTGGAGAAAAATGATTGAACACATTCAGATAAAGACTATGATCAGTGCTACAAAGTGACTGAGAATTTTGGAGAATTAAGACATCACATATTTATGATAAAAGTGGGAAAATGCTTGAATCCTTCAAAGAGAAAAAACATCTGCTAGTGAAATTTTTCTTTCCACAAACTACTTCTCTAAGAAAATTTAAAAAAAAAAAAAAAAAAAAAAGAAAACTACCACAATTGTAGTAAGTTGTGTTATTGAATGCAGTCCCCAGAATATGAAGCCTAATATGTACTAAAGACTCTCCTAGACAGTTACTGCCGTTTTAAAAATGGGGTATCTCCAATTAAAGGTAATTTCTCTCCCCTTCCCTCTGTCCAGATATTCAAAGTAACTGTTTTTACGGGAACAAGTAGGAACCTGATCCCCCGAGAGACGGCAGTACAATTTTTATACCAGTCAAACAACCAACATCTGCAACATTAAAGATTTTACATTCATAAGGCCAAAAGGCAGTAGAAATGCAGGTGTCTTGCTGCAATGAAAACTGCAAGCACTTGTCCTCAAAGGCCAATTAGCAGTGATTTACAGCACTGAAGAATGCTCTGGGGGAAACTTTCAATAAAACTAATAAAAATCAAAACAATTGTTCCTGTTTTTTTCAGCCTAATTTAACTAGGAAAAAAAAAGAGCTCATCTTGTGCAGCTGCCTAATTTCCAGCAGGATTAATCTTTTACTTGGGGACTCATTTTCCTTTCATAGGAGTTGTCCAGGGAAACTGGAGCAGGGATTTTGGGAAGCTGGGAGAGAGCAGGCAGCGAGGCTGGCCGTACTTGAGCAGGTTCCATCTGGCATGAGCATGTAGCCGTTCAGGCAGTAGCACTTGTAGCTGCCGTAGGTGTTCATACAGCGGTGCTTGCACGGCCGCGGCTTTAGTCCGCACTCATTCAGATCTGAAATGAAGGGCACAAGGGAAAAGGGTGGGAGAAGAAAACACACCAGGCATGCATGGAAAAACTGCCAGTTCAAGCTGCTGGAGAAAGAAGGAAAAATACAGCAATTAGCTTTTTATACGCAGCTCAGCTGACAGCAAGCGTCTAAAACATCCTGCACGGAGCGCCATTCATCCCTCCAGCCAAGCAGCTTATTTGGCTTGGTTTCATAGATGTCTTTTCAAAAATGACAGTATTAGCATTAGATGAAGTGCCAGCTGCTTCATCAGGCGACACACAAGCTCAGGCTGGCCATATCGTGCCACTATTCACTTGATGCCATGTCCAGGACCAGGCAGCACTCGGAAGAAGGAGGAGGAGAGAGAAGGCAAACATCACTCTGCAATCACTATCAGTGCTTCTGATAGCAATTCAGTGATTCACCATCATGCTTCAAAATTAGTGACAGAGCAAGGTAGGAAAGCTGATGCCAACTTACTCTAAACAATCTCACAGAGAAAATTCAATCCTTATCATCTAAAAAATACTAAAAGAAAGTATCTGACATCAGCTATATTTGTCAAGGACCATCCATGAGGGCTAGCATTTCAGATTTGCAATTTAATAGAGAATTCATGTGTTCAGCCTACAGTTCCCATATTAGTAGAGAGAACTTCAAACAAAAAGACGATTTCCTTCAGAATTCTCTTCCAAGAATGTGTTGATTTTGCCTGAGTAAGCCAGAATAATTTCTCACTTATTATTGTTGCTAGTTATTTGCATAGTGATGAACAAGGTTGAGAACAAAGATGAAAATAATAAATCTATTCACAAATCCAGCCAGTGAGGACCTAAAAAAATGAGTTATCAACTACCATCTCTAATACTGCACCATGCTGTCTGGTCTTTTGCAGACAGAGTATTGCCATTTTTTCCAGGAGTTTTCCAAGAGCCATCTCCCTGTCCTAAGCACCATTATATCAAGTGTCACTCAATCCATGTAACAGAAAAGTAAGCCTTGAGGCTCCCATCATGTCATAGATACACACACAGTAGCCACTTCATACAATGCCAGCTGAGGAGGTGACAGATGCCTCCCATGGACTAGAGGCAAAGGCTCAGCGTTAAGACGCTGAACCAGAAAGATAAACACACCTCTGGTTGCAATGAAGTCAGTAATTTATTGACTGCTTTTCAGAAATGAAGAAGAAAACTTAACTATGTAGTAAATGGAATGAGAAAAGTTACATTCACTGTAGAGGTGAAGTTAGAGAAACCATTGATTCTAGACAACTACCTGGAATTTTACAAGTTCTTAATGTTTGGATTTGAAATTTGTCCTGAAACTCTGTAATCCATTGGTTTGTGAGAGTAACATTCTTTACCTTACTCTTTTCAGGCAAAATATTTTTAAATGGCATTCTAATACTGAGAAATATATTCCATTGCATTTTGACTGGCAAAATGCAGAACCATCAATGTATCACACTACAAGTCAGAGATGTAATCCAAATTCAGCTGTAAGGATGTTGCCTGTTTGCTGCTCCTGAGAGCTCCATGTATCATTAAACTTGCTGTCTTCTGACCTACTTTGCTTCCATCTTCACAGGGTGAAGGAATAGCGAGCATCATGCAGACACGGCCCTCCCCAGAACCCTTCCCCTTAGCTCATTTCCCAAGGTCTCAGGAAGAACAGCATGTTTAAGGACAAGAATGCTTCCTGCTCCCCTCTTCTGCAAGAGGGCAGCAGTAAGGGATGTAATTTTCCATTTCTGCCTGTTAAGGCTGGACAAGATGTTTCCAGGAAACCTGAAGGGGAATACTCTCTCCTCAAGTGGTGAGGAAGATCAGGTGAGCCTAAACAGGACTTCAGTGAAGAAAGATTGCCAAACAAGGGCATGACCTGTGCATGATAAAGAAGGAGTGATGACCACCTCTGCCATCTTCCTGGGGACCACGTGCTGCAGAGACAGCACCCCTTTGCAGCTCTCACTCTTTGGAGTTGGAAAAAGTTTCAGCAGTTGCAAGGAGAGTATTCTTCTCACAGCAGGCACCAAAGCCACATTCCCAAGAAAGTACCTTCTGGGTTTGAGAGAAACAGCTGTAGAGAAAGCACATTTTGTCCTGTGAAACCAGGGTCTTCTCCTAGGAGTTGTGACTACAGGTATATGCCTAGGCCAAATGGAAATGCAGCAGATGGTTATGCTACAGGGCAAGGACAAGTTCTCATTGGGGAAACCTTTGTGTGAAAAAAAGGTTTACATAAAAATCTCCAATAATAAGCAGATGAACGTTCACATTTTGAAAGGCAAACTTCTCTTGGCAGCACAAAAAAAAAATTGTTTTTTCATTTTTCTGTAAAGCATACCACAAGTAGTCAGTTCCTGACAGACAGTATAGCTCTATTAACATATTTATTATGCATGCAATGTGTCTGTTAAAAAAGTCATTGTTACATTCAAAAACTGTTAGCATTTGATTTCAATTCATAAATGTATCCCCAAGGAACCCATAGTATTGAATTTACTGAAGTTCACTGACAACCATAATTTTGAAGTAAGAGAAAAAAAGTTCTCTTAGTCTAAAATATCTGTATTCTTCCTATTTTCTACAAAAATAATCACTCTACAAAATAAAGGCATAACACAGCTAAGTATAAAATATGTAACTAGAAGTAGGGACAGAATAAGGAAAAGTAACACTGAAATTAAGTTGACAGGGCAGGATTTTAACACTGCCATGTGTTAAGTTCTAGTGTTTAAATTCCACTGCACTTCAGGTCCTAAGTTTAGATACTCCTGACTACTAAAGAACTGTCATGCACTTACTTCCAGAGTTATGACCACAGACTCAAAGTTGAAAATAAGAATTTACGACTGTTCCCAGTATATCACCCTGCATAGAGTATAAATTACATTATGAGCCTTAAAATACAGGATCCTTTTACAGGACTCTGAATTCTACACCACCACTTGATACAAAGTATTCTTAGTACAGAAATGAAAGCTCTGGCATTGACAAATAGACACCTATTAGTGACATACTATGAGAAGAGTATAAAGTGCAACACTATTAAAAAGTTAAACAAATCCATTTAATTTCTTTGTAGGAATGTCCAATCATTGTCCTGGATTTGAGAATTTCATTTTTCAGTATTTTAATTTCCCACATTGCCTACAATTGACGGGCAATGCAAAACCAGCACTCTTGATTTCAAAGTAACACAAGGCAGTAGATTACATAAAAGCAGACTGACTGTTTTGGCCACTATTGGAAGCAGGTTTATAACAAACGCAAGCTGCTGAGCACAGGTATTTTATATCTAAAGGAATTAAATGAAATGTGAGTGCAAGGGAAGGACAGAGTGTTATGCTGGCAAACCCGGATGTGACTCCTTAGACTGCTGCAGTGCACCACACATGGTCTTGGACCAACTTCAGTGTACACCCAACAATGGGCCACTTATTCCTAAGCAGATTCAATGCCCTCTGCTATTTTCTTTTAGTTAGCTTCTGCAGACTTCAGCACTCAAGACTTTTTCTGCCTTTTTTGCCTATCATGTAACTTGGATCAGGGAACACTGAAGTTAAACATTCAATATCACATTTACCCACCTCTGAAAATAGAAAGCCAAGGACCAGAAATCAAGTAGAAAAATTAAACTGTTATCACCATAATATAAACAGTAGATCAGCTTTCATTTCCAACAGTTGCAATTACACTCCCATGTCCACCTCATAAGAAATTTCTATCACCTGAACAGTTCTGTTCACTTAGTCTGATTAATCAACAGCTGCCAAATTGAATTTTTTTAGCCCTCCTTTTCTACAACTTCCAGCTTCATCTAAGTCACAGTTTTGTCTTTATGTAACCTGATAAACAATTTCCATCACTATCACAGGAACCCAGAAAAGAAAAAAAGCCAGGCTCTGAAAGAAGAGCAGAGGAAAGAAACAATGCAAGTGACAACCATGAGTATGGAAGAGTCAAAACTTGTCAAAATACACACAACAGCACCAAGGAAATACAACCAATTATTTGCTCTGCATGCTAAGGGCACTTCAGGTTCAGCTTTCACATCCCAGCCATTGATGGGTGCATCAGCCTCCACTCCCCTTGCAGGAAATTGCACTCCTGTTGGAAGCCGTGCAGAGAGGAGGGGCACAACACCTGAAACACAGGAGCACCTCACCCCTCGCTGCTACATTTCCTGCTGGAGGATCCAGGGGAAATGAAGATCAGGAGCTTCCCTGCTCTGACCAAGTAGACTTGTGTACAGCTGCACATCTTCACAGGATAGGGAGAAGGCATAATAAAAGCATGGCAATATGCATTACTTTACTTAATAAATATAAATACATATCAAGTGCTGACAAGAATTTCAAGCAGTGAACTTTGCATCATTTTCCTAGAACAAACAAGGTAAGAGAATTAAAAGTTACAGAAAAGCAGCCTTAGATTTTTTTGGATAAAGACAACCTTTCCCAGGCAAAGAGAGTTAACCTGTATGTGCTTTAGATTGCTAGCAAAAGTTACAACTGTTTGTAACTTTTTTGTCTCACTGAATATTATCTGTATTTTCTTCAAGAGCAGCTACCAGAAAAGTGTTTCTGATGAACACATTTGGAAAGTATGAGTTCTGTTGTTATCACTATCAATTAAGAGAGGTGGCAGAGGGCATTTTCTCTCAAGTGGCTCTGTTTGTTTCTTCACTGCTTACAGCTGTAAAGCTGGGATCAAAAAGCCAGAAGGGAAACACTAAAGCTATTCAGGAGATATGACTGCTGTAAGGAGAACACATGGTTAGCTCTTGTGCAGTCATTGCAATTTGATTGCTGAGGATAGCAAAGTAATTAAAAAACTATCAGGTAGTCTTAACTTTGGAGTGATCTAAAGTGAGGTAAGGATTGTCACAGCAGCTGCAGCACCACTGGAAAAGGACAAGCATCCAGCATAATCACACAGTCAGGGCTGAACAGCTCTGCTGTGAGGCTGGCTGATCTCCTGGATCAGTCCCAGGAACACAGCCTGATCCATGGGGCACACAAACAGAAGAGATGTAAAGCCTGTTTATGAGAGCTTGTACTCAAAGAACGCCTTTCACTAAGAACATGAGCATACTTTACAGCCCAGAACCATTCACACATGCTAGAAACACTTCCATCTCTGCAGGGAACTCCAACATCTCCTCTGCCAACATTGTTAATCCTGTTACTATTCTAGAACAGGATTGAGAAAATGTGCCACAGGCTGAACAGGGCAAGGGCTGTATTAAGGTGTTGTGTTATAACAAAATAGGTCACATTTATTCCGGGCTGTTTGAATCTCCTCCCAGCTAAAGCAGACTCTGCATTCACTGCACACTTTCAAGTCTCATCCAAACACTGAATCAGCACACAGCAAGAACGCAGACCATGACCCCAGGAACAGCTCCAGGGCCCCACCAGGCAGTAGAGCAGCAGCAGCCACCTGAACTGGTGCATATTTGGGGCACCACACTCAGCTGGCATCTCAGAAACCTCACCTACATCTGCCAGGCAGCTTTGTCACCAGCACCACGCAAGAATATTTCATCAACATTGCCCAAAGCGCTTCCTTTGATAATCCATCACATTTTTCCTTCCTTAGCATTTAGTGGCAAGAAAATAGTTCAGGTCAAGACTGAAGCCTCCAGCAATTTGCAAAGCATTCTTTCAACATTGTTAAACTATTTACTACCTATAAAAACTGTTACACACACATCTAACTGTTAGTTCGCTGCACTGTTTTCTAAAATGGCTTTGGATTGATGAAAATGTGTAGAATAAAATCAAAACAACACAAACTTTAAAATGTCAGCCCAGAGTAAGGGGAAAAAAAAGACAGGATAATATAAGAGATGATGCAAACTTTTGAGAAAACTGAAAAACACAACACACATTTTCACATCAGTTTGAGAAGGATTAGTAAATCTGAATATATATATATATATCTATTTTTAAAGAAAATAACTTAGTTTAAAAATCAAAATGTCATAAGAAATTTAGCAATGTCAGAAAATCATTCTAAATATCACGCTTTTCTACCACACTTTCCTTAGCACTCAGAAAATGCACAGATTTTCCTGTAGGCTGAGACAACTGCAAGAGACATAAATGAGATATATTTGTGTGTGAACATGTCTTAACCATCAAAGTCTAAAAATCACACATTACAATTCTCTAATTGTTTATACTCTATGATCTTTATACCATTACACACTTTGGACATAACTTTTGAGAAAAAAACTCCAAACAATGAAACTTAATAATCCAGTAAGAGACACTTCATCCTTACACCAACCCTTTAATGGTTTAATGCAACCTTGTTAGTTCAGGATTAGGAACAATAAAATGAGAATGCATTAATTATGAGGTTTTTAATGAAACAAATATTATTTCACTATTCAAATTTGAAAATTGTGACTTTATAAAAAGCAACAATCCTGACCATAAGGTTTAAATAATTTGCTTCTGATTAAGAAGAGCAGGTAACTAGATCCTATATATTAATCTCAATGATTTCTTCTGAATGAAAGCAATTTTTCCCCTGTGTCATCCCACTGCAGATGTCAATCTCTCTACAAAAGTCAGCCCAATATCAGACTTGCTGCAGCAGTGACAGACCTGGTATATGAGTTCATTACTCTACAAACACAGGGGACACACACAGCATTGGTGGGGGTGGGTACAGAGATCAACAACACTTCCATGATGTCAAAAATAAACTCTTTCTTACCTTGGTTGCAGGTTTTTCCAGTGTATCCTGGGTGGCACTTACACTTGTTTGGCCCAATGCATTCACCATGTTTGCACCCTGGCTGGCATATAGCTGCAAACAGAGGAATACTCATTATCTTTCTACTCCAGTCACAGCTGACAGTGAAATGTCTTTGAAACTATTGAATAGTTCAATAATTTGAATATTTGAATTATTTCAAATTGCTTTGAAATAAACAACAACTACCTAACAAATACAAGTACTGTCTATGCCATAATCAGAAAATAAATACAGAACTCCAAGAAATAACAGAAAGGCATTTTTTGGCACCTCTCTCAATATGACACAAAATTCATAAAACAAACTTTCAAAGCTTCAATGACAAATAAAAAAGCATTGTTTTTGAAGAAATATAAGAATTCATGCACAAATATATTTTTGCTGATGTAGGATTAGCCAACAGGAATATTTTCTTGTGTAACTGAAAAACATTTGACAGATTGAAATTTTAAACAGCATTTCTAAGTCTTTTGCATTAGAAATGTTTTTCTATTATTAAACCTACTTTTTAAACCTACTGGAAAAATGCAGTATTTACTATGCTCTAAGATGCTGTTTATCATTATATGACAAAATGCAGATACACAATCCTGCTGAGCTCTCTGCTAAAGTAAGATAGACACAAAATAGACAGAAATCAGATGGTGGCATAACTTGAAGACCCTGTAACCAAGATTTATCTGTTTACGCCAGCTTAAGCTTCATTTTATAAAGTAACAGTATCATTTGGAATTTGCAAGTAACTAAACAGATCCAGATGCAATATTAATCCGACAACAGGCTGTATCATAAAACTGGATGTATCAAGGACATAATTTAACAGAAATCTCCCAGAATGCACTCAAAAAATGTAATTTGCCTTCTAGCCAAGTTGTTTAACACGGTTAAATTAAACAAAATTAAAAAAAAAAAACCAAGATATTTGGTTTGGTTGTGGAAGAACCATCCAAGTACTTCTCTGAGGTTCTGAAAATCTCCATAAGATTCAAAGCTTCCAGAACTAGAAATTCCCACAAATATATCCAGAGAAGTAACTGTTAGCATAGGAGGAGCTTGCTCCAGTTTTAGGACTGCCTTTATTTAGGACTGCTTCAGGACTCCCATTATTATCAGGCATTTTTTTTGTTTAAGTGTAGTGTATACATATATAATTAGGGATATATCCTGAGACCATAAAACCTTCTTTTAAATCTACAGCTCTACTCCTGATGGATCTTCCTAGTATGATGGTGAAGTCTCTTTCCACACAACTGTTAAGAAGTATCTTAAAAGGCAACAGAAATGCAAGATCTTTGTTAATTTTTTTTCCCCAACAAACAGTGTCTGGAAACAAAGAAATGAGATTCACATTTAGAAAAACCTCTCAATGGAAGTGTAAGGGAAAGGAGCTGCTCAGACTACTAAAAGGGTATAGACTACTAAAAGTAAGGACTACTTCAGGAAGTCTGTCCTTGGGTAATGGACAGGTCTGACTGAAGAGCATCTGATCCACCATGAGACACTTCTAGAGCATTGCACTTGGAAACACTCACTGCTTTTTTAATCACTACAGCCATAAACAGGAAAAAAAGGATCTCCTTTGTTAAGAGTTCATTTAAATGCTGAGATTTTTGTCTTCCTGGCATCATCAACCCAGGTCTAATCAGAGGTGATGGTGGCAAACTGAGAACTATGAAGACTAACTTAATGACATCAAAGCAACCAGGGAAAAACAAAAGTTGTCATTTAAACTACAGTAGAGAAAAAATCATATAAAGCATATAAATATGCTTTGGAAACTTGCTTGAATTTTCAACTTTAAATATCTGTATTGCAAAGTGGGATACATTTATTTAAATCAGTTCTTTTTAAGAAACAAGAAGTACCATGGGATCACTTTGTGTAAAGTGTAACTGTTCAGTAACTGTTAGAAGAACCTGTGGCAACTTTAGTTTTAGCTGAATTTTTTATGCCTTGGCCCCTCCCTCAATTGCAGAGATTGTACATTAGCAGCAGCTCAGATAGAGAAAAAAAATCTCATACTTGAAGACAAAAATCTCTATTATTTCAAGGAAAGCTTTCAAATGACTAGCAAACCACTGTCCATAACGTCAGTCATCATAAAACACTGGGGGTTTTGCACATTAAGTGGGTATTTGGAAACCTTCGTTTGCTGCCAAACACAGTTCTTGAGGAAAACCTGTTTATTAGAGGACATTCTATGAACTTGGGCTACTTCACCATTTCAAATCTTATTTAGACACAGCTGAAATTCAATACAATATTAAAACTGAAGAATTTCTATATACAGGAAAAAAATGCTTTGCAGTAAGCTTAACAACATCTGTAGCTCAGCCAACACCACAGATAAATCTGATGGCATTTCCTACAAGGAATCAAGCCACCCACAGGATAAAACTCGTGCATCTTCCAATTAACTTTAGCAGGGCTTTGCAGGGTGCTCAGGAATAAACAATCAGATGGCTCAGCCAAGTCTGCATGCCTGGCTGGGGTCCCTGCTGAGCCCTACCAGAATCACCAGGCCCAGAGGGGTGGGTCAGCTCCAGCCCTGCCATCTCTAGTATGAAAATCCTTATTCAAAGGAGAAGCTGCCCATACAAGGCAGTAAATCCACTCACTGAGCTCTATTTGAACACTGGCAACAACCAGATGCAGGTACAAAAATAAGCCTAAGCCAGACTTTCAGCATTTCTTTTAATAGCAGACAATTATTTCAGCTGTTTGGCATGAGTCAGAGCATACACTACATGTGCTGATGTGACTGGGTCCTTTAATTCTCCATTCTTCTTGTTTTCCTGCAAAGCTCCAGATACAACAGAACAGAATACTTCAGTCACTCCATTCACACACAGACAAATGGAGTTTCTGCATTTTTTTTGAAAACAAGTAGACTCACAAGTAATGGAGAAAAAAAGTCTCCCAATTACTACTTTTTGCCTCTTGAGAATTTAAGAATTCCTCCACAACCAATAAACCATCATTTCCTTCCAAGTGACCCACATTTACAATGACTGAAATAACCCATGTCCCTGGATTTCAGCCTGTTATGTAACACTTGCTTCCCTACTAGGAAAGAAGGAAACGTAGACAGAAGGGTTACTCCAAGTTGAGAAAGTCACTCTCTTATGAGCATTGGGCAGTGAAATCCAGAGGGGTTTGAAAAGGACTGCCAAAACTCAGTAAAAACTTTCTACTCTTTATAATAGTAACTTTGGTAAACAAAAGTTAAAATTATACTGGCATAGACAAGTGCCGCTCAAAATGAGACTGCTAATTTACTGTTGAACCAGTATCAAAGCAGACCTACCACATCCAAGGATTATTCTCTGAAAGCTGTTAAGCTGAACTCCCATTGGGTAGGAATGTGGATTGACATGGACAGAAAAAAAATCCTAAGCACAGCAATTTTCATCTTTAGTCAAGTCTTGCTTTTTTATCTGTGACACATAATAAACTATAACTAAACTTTCCTTTTCACTTTATTGACCAATTCGTTCAAGAGGTAATCAGAAAAAAAAAAAAAACTCTGGTCTCATCATTATTAGCTTCAGTTGGACAATTTTCAATGCTTTTTTCTTGGGTCAGATGTGAAGATTTACTCTCAGTTCCCATTAACTTCAAGGAGGTATCCTAGGGCCTTTTATTTGGCCATAAATCTGAGTACCTTTTTTCAAGGTTGGCAAGAACTACCTTTTCCCCCCAAAAATAAGGTGACAAACACCACATTTTAAGTCTCACTTAAACTTCAGGACAAATTAAACTTCCTGTAAAAATAACACAAGGAATTGAAATATGAATGGGTGGTTTGGGTTTATGATGGGTTGTTTGATTTTTTCTTTTTCTCAAGTGTGGGAGAGTGGAAGAAAGAATTTCTGGTGAAGTGCACATGCTGCTAGCATGCATTATGCTCGTGAAAAAGCCAGAAGCCACCAATTTTCTGAGCCACTGCTTTCTGTAGGTGTTATCCAAGCATTACTCAACCATTCTGAATTATTATTTTTAGTTGCACAAATACAACAAATGAAAAACACATTCAACAATTTCATTATGGGTCTGTAATGCTGGGGGATGTTTTCATTTCATGTGTATTCTCCCAATGCACACAGTTCCCCCACAACTGCTTTGGAAGTGCACCTCAGACTCTGTCAGATCCCCCACATAAGCTGCCCACTTTTGAGGGCATGGGTCACTACCACATGCTGTCCCCTCTATTCCTTCTCTTCTAGAATTTTAACATTAATGATCTCTTTATTGACTAGCAAACACTGTTTGGTGAAGTCCTAACCAGCAGATTGCACTGCTTGGTTCCTACCTGACTAATTTCCCTTCATTTGTGCCCAGCAATGGAAATCCCTCAGCTTTCTTAATGGATTATTCCTGGCAATTAAAATTCCCTTTGGTCTTCCAACACTCCTAGCTATGTTTTTCATTAAAACAGCATCGCGTATGACTCTTCTATTCTTTTTCTCTGCTTTGCCTCCCAATTTCTGAACTTCTTTTTCATCTCTCTGAAGCCTTAAATTATGCACAGAAATACCTGCATCTGAAACAAACTATGCTAACCATCTGCCCGAATGGCCTTGTTTCTGCCCTCTCTCCCTAAGTAACATACAGCCTCCTATTTATTCTGACTCAAGATCCCAGCTCCTTAAAATTCAATTTGCCCAGGCACAGCAAGTAATTTGTGCAGCAGCCCAGAAATGATTACACAGTGTATTCAGCTTCACAAAACTTCATTGGATCCTCTTACACTGCTGATTGCAGAACACATTTCCCACCTTCGGATCGTTTCTTACATTCCCTCCAGTGCCAGCTTTCTAACAAGACCTGCATGTAGGTGAAAGAAGCTTTCCTCTAGGCTGTCTCCTCCACCTGAACCTGGGTGCCTTCCTCCTGTGATGCTCACAGACCACAACACCAAGCTCCATAATACTTCTCTCCCTCAGAGTCAGCTGCAGCTCACATCTCTGTCTGTTTACTTTTTGCAATTCTTTATAAATTATGCAATCAAATAAACATGCTGAGGAAAATGAAACTACCTTATTCACAGTAATTTTGATCTAGGATCCCAAAGGGATGAGCTAATTTATAAAATAAATCATTGTAGATCTTTCAGAGATGCATATTTCTTTTTTGTTCAACTATATACTTTAATTACTAACAACTGTAAGAGAATGCATAAAGCTCATCCCACCTCAAAGTTACTAGAAGGTGGTAAAAACACATCATACCCATAACTCACATTAGGGAATTACTTCTGAAAAAATGCTTGCTTCCCAAGTAAGTGAATTAATAGTCACAGAATATATCTCTGCAGAGATTAATAAGCCTGACTAGGACAACTGGGTATTAATTTTCTGATAATTTCATCTGCACAAGACTTCTTAATCTATTTTTTTGGGGAAGATAATAAATGTCCTTGACCAGCTTCTGTAACTAAAAACTGACAATAACATCAGACAAAATGGTAGTACCTAATGCCTGAATATTTTTCCAGAAATTATTTGCCCTTTTTTGTGACATTCATGCTGTCAAAATGGTCATACATTTTATCTGAAACATACATTCCATTTAGTAAGTGGCTCCTTATTTTTCATGCACAACTCTAACACTTACCCGAGTAAATCAGTTACTCAGTTTGCACTTTTGATTCTGGTAACAGCACATTAACTTGACAAACTGCAACCAGTGTGGGTCATTCACTGCAGTGAATTCTTGCCTTGGCTATGACTGCTGCCAAATGTGTTTCTAAACCACACAGACAAATCCAGACTCTGGCTTATGAATGCCTTGATATTCAGAACAGCACTACACAGCATGCATAACTTTAGCATGGGTAACACTGAAATCAATAGGATTTAATGAAGTCAGTAGAAGTTAATCTAATGCTTATACACTTAAGTACTCTTTCTTAAAAATCAGCAGAAATCTGATGTAACACACACAAAATTAGAAAAGCGAGAAATATTTCATGCTTTGTCAAGCTTCATGTTTGCATTTCAGGTGGTTCACTAAAACAACCTGAAGAATGGTGCTTATCATCTCAAATGCCTGTTTGCTGCCTGAATTTTTCTATGCGTTCACAGAATTCCAACAGGTAGAAATGGGATAGCATGAGTGTCTCTGTGTGGTGACAGACGACCAACTGGGTCCTACTGATATTTTGTTTATTCAAATATAAAACGTCCACTAGCTTCAGCAGTGTAACTTCTGTATCACAGTAACAATGCTGATTTCACAGAGATGAATGGCTGACTGCTTTGCTCCTCCCTGTCTGAGACTCGTGCCTCTGCCACAGGGAGTGCAAAAAGAATCACAGAATCTCTAGGTTGGAAGATATCTTCAATATCATGGAGTCCAACCCATGCCCCAACATCTCAACTAAACCATGGCACCGAGTGCCACATCCAGTCTCTTGTTAAACACATGCAGGGATGGTGACTCCACCACTTCCCCAAGCAGACCACTCCAGTACTTTATCACTCTTTCTGTGAAAACTTTCTCCTAATATCCAACCTGTATTTCCCTTGGCACAGCTTAAGGCTGTGTCCTCTCGTTCTGTCAGCGCTGCCTGGAGAAAGAGACCAACCCCACCTGATACAGCCACCTCTCAGGGAGCTGCAGAGAGTGACAAGGTCACCTCTGAGTCTCCTTTTCTCCAGGCTGAACACCCCCAGCTCCCTCAGTCGTTCCTCACAGGGTCTGTGCTCCAAGCCCCTCTCCAGCCTCGTTGCCTCCTCTGGACGCGCTCCAGCATCTCAAAGTCCTTCCCAAACTGAGGGGCCAGAACCGGACACAGCACTCGAGGTGCGGCCTCACCAGTGCCCAGCACAGGGGAAGAGTGACCTCCCTGCTCCTGCTGGCCACACTATCCCTGACACAGCCCAGGATGCCCTTGGCCTCCCTGGCCACCAGGGCACTCTGCTGGCTCATGTCCGGCTGGCTGCCAACCAGCACCCCCAGGTCCCTTTCTGCCCGGCACTGTCCAGCCACACCATCCCCAGCCTGTAATGCTGCAGGGGGTTATTGTGGCCAAAATGCAGGACTCGGCACTTGGACATGTTAAACTTCATCCCACTGGATTCCACCCATCCATCCAACTTTCCAGGTCTCTCTGCAGAGCCCTCCTACCTTCCAACAGATCGACACACACTCCCAGCTTAGTGTCAGCCCCAAATTTACTAATGAAAGACTCAATCCCCACATCCATGCCATCGATAAAAATACTGAACAGAGCTGGCCCCAGCACAGACCCCTGAGGAACACCACTGGTGACAGGCCCCCAGCTGGATGCAGCACCATTCCCCACCACTCTCTGGCCTGGCCATCCAGCCAGTTTTGAACCAGCAAAGAGACTTCTGTCCAAGCCAGGGGCGGCAGCTTTTCCAGGAGTGTGCTGTGGGAGACAGTGCCAGAGGCCCTGCTGAAGTCCAAACAGACAACATCCACAGCCTTTTCTGCATCCACCAGGAGGGTCACCAGCTCATACGAGGAGATCAGGTTGGTCAAACACAACCTATCCCTCCTAAAGCCCTGCTGGCTGGGTCTGACACCCTGGCCAGCCTGTAAGTGCTGTATGATTACACTCAGTATAAACTGTTCCAGAACCTTACCAGGTACTGAGGTCAGGCTGACAGGCTTATGATTACCAGGATCCTCCTTCCCACCCTTTTTGTGAACTGGTCACATTGGCCAGCTTCCAGTCCTCTGGAACCTCCCCAGTGAGTCAGGAACAAACAAGATGCATCAGTTCCTAAGCAGCAGCAGACTACAGCCCTGGGTACCAAAGTAAAATATGTCGATTTCATTTTGCCAGGTTCTACACTGCTGGAGACCAAGGGCTGTAAAGTTTCCATGTTCTGGGAAGGAGAACCTGTAGTGGAAGTGCAAAGCAGGCAGTGGAGGGCAATAAGTGCCTCAGCCATTCCAAAATAGCCTCTCACTGCACATGATTCAATGCCATGAAAGCAAATTAGGCCTCCTAGGTCTGACAGCTTGTAAATGCATTGCTGGTAGTACAAACAACTTGCAGAAATGGAAAAATACTGCACAGGGCTTGAGGGTAAAATAAAGGAGTGAAAAGGGAAAAAGTGTCATATTTTAGAAAAAAAGTATATCATTGTACATATATATATATATATACAATTGTCTAGGATAAAATAGCCCTGTTAATTTCTTTCCCTCCTCATCTTCCCCAAATCAAATGCTTAAAAAATGAAAAACAACAAAAAATTACCTTCTTGTCACATATTAAAATTTTCATGTAAACTTATGACTTCAAGGCCATAACTCCAAGTCATAAATTTGTCAAAATTATTTCAAGAAATATGTTCAGCTAACCTTTGGGCTGGCACCTTACGCTGGCTATTCTCTGCCTTAAGACGTAGAACGCTGCAAAACAAATCCAAAAGAGAAATTCCAGCTTTTTTTTTTTTTTTTTCTCTGTAAGGAGGATGGACTTGGCTGTGGTTTTTATCAACTTGTTACATTCCTGGAGAATTACATACATTCAGCATTCAGAGCTTTTCTGAAATAAAAAAAAATTCTAGTACACATTTAAAAATGGAAATACCTTACATCAGGATCTCTTTATGAGATTTAACAAACACATTCTGATACATAAGAGTAATTAAATATAATGATGTGATGCTATTCTTATTCAATCAACTAAGGAACTACACTTTGTCAAACTTCATAGAGTAAGTAGTTGTAAAAATTCTCACGTTTCATGGTTCAGGTTCAACATTTCCATCAATGGAGCACAAATGCTTTTCTTAAAGACACAGTATCCTTTCATTTAAGTGTGAGTATATATTTTTAATTTAACACTGTCTCCACAGCTCAAACACAAAGGCCTAGCATCTGGATCCTAATTTGAGAGCAATTAAAATTACACCCATTTATCTGTATCTGAACATCTGCAACCAATAAACATGTTGGCACACAAATTTACTGGTCATTTTTATAACATTTAAAAATGTAATGTCATCTAAATTAAAAGTAATACTTACTTTAAAAGAAACCTTTTCAGCTCTTGCTACCACATGAAACAAGATATGCTACAAAACTTATATAAGATGAAAACACAGATATATGTTTCGGGCTATTTGAAATAAATTTATTTGCCAATAAATTTAATGTTAGCAGCATGGCTTGTTAGGCTACACAGCCTTGTGATAGCAGGCTGGGACTTGAGCAACAGCAGCTCTTTGTATTTTAAGTAGTGTGTGACCAACACTTCAGGCTTTTCTATGATTGCAACTTATACTTGTTTAAATTGGTTTTAACTAGGAAGTCCCTCAGCCTTGGTTACAGTGAAAGGAAGCTCCTCAGGCTGTTGCTGGGCTTTCAGAGAAGATGCAATTACGAATGTACTACAGTTGCAACTGTCAAATTGATTACTGATGACATTTCCTTAGAAAAAAGCAGGCTGCAAAACTACTAATCTACATATGAAGTGCATGAGGAATGCAGTAGGGAAATGGAAAAGGATACTGTATCTTTAACACAGTCAAGTCATGCTTTAAAGGCATAAAGGATCTAAACTGAGAAAAAAAATTGAATAAAAATAGCAAAACCTCATTTTTATTCTTGAATAGCAGTGTAAAGCAGTATTGCAATTCTGTATAAAATGCCTTTTCTTTGAAGAGTACCAGGGATGCACAAAAATATCAGTCATTTTATAGGAAGCAGACATGCTCCATATCAGTATTTATTAAACACTGCCAACACAATGCATTAATTCAGACTCTGATCTTGCAACCCCAAATTCAGTAGCAAAACTCTTACTGACTTTAGGGATGTTTCTTTTAGTGGATCAGCCTCCTAGAAATCCTTATTTTCACAGGTCGTTATTGACAAAATCATGGTTTTATTTTGTGCATCTTGGACTATACAGAATTGCCATTTCCACTGAAAGCAATGCTACATGCAGGAAACAGAAATCCTAAGCTGCCCATGGCCTCTTCTCCCATTGATGTGTTGGATGATTTATATGGGCAAATCATCTTCAACTTCATTTTTACCAATACAAAATCTCCTTCTAGGCATCAATGAGAGCACAGACACTGCTTCCTCCCCCTCCCACCACCTCACAGCCCTGTAAGAGATTGCACAGAACAGGTACACAGCCTTTGAGCTCATCAGGACAGCAGCAGCAGCACAGACACTGCAAGAGCCTTCCCAAGGGTTGTCAGAAGGCAGCATCATGCACAGTTCCCAGCAAAGCACTCAGCTATGCCTGCATCTGCTATACATCAACTTGTACAAGCTCCTCTCTCTTGCAATCAAACTTCCTGAAATCATATGCTTTCTACCAGGTTTGGCTAAATCTAAATGCCAGCCTGACACCCTTCAATTAACACTTTTTTAATGCTGCTAACCTAAGGGGAGGTGTAAACTGATGGTTTGACTTTATAAATCCTTGACTGTTCTGTCCCTAGGCCTTTAAGCCAATTGTGGTGGAAAACTACTTTGTTGACCTACTCTGGGTTTGCTTCCCAGGTAAAAAACACTCAAACCTCAGCATGAGGAGATAACCAGATGGAGCTACAACCAATGGGCTCTCTGAAAGAGCACACTCATCTTCACCACCCCTTCTGGAGACAGACTGCATGGATTTTCTTACTGTTTAAGGAGAATTACACATAGAAATGGGTGAAGTCATCAAATATCACTGCTTACCAAACCCACGTTCAGTTAAATTTAATTTCTGTTAAACATTTTCTGTTGGTCAAACTTTCCATCCATCAGACAAAAATCTGCTGACTCCAACAGTCACACAGACTCCAGTCAGCAGAGGGTCAGACAGTAGATCTGCATTTGTTTATAGAAGCTGCAGATGTGGTCTTCTCTTCTGTATCTATCTATATTAACACAGCAAAAAGAACCATTTTTGCCATCAGCTGCAGCAAAGGAGTTGTCCAAACTGTAATGCAGAATGAGAATTCAAGCCACTTCGTATTGCTTTTCTTCTAAAAATTCTGAACTTTTTTAATCTATGTTAAAATGTTATCTCTTTCCAGTTTTTTGCTGTTAAACTGCAGCTAAAATTCTGAAACAATCTTCACATCTGTAGTGTACCTTGACTAAATATAGCTGGTGTACAAATCAACTACAGACACACAGCCAGGTTCAAAGCAGGCATATTTTGTTCATGAAAGACACACACAGAGACAGAAATTATTCTTATAGCTTCTGAAAAAACTATAGAGATATTTGTAAGCCAGCTAAAAAAAGAGGCAGACAGACCATTAGTTTTAAGAACAGTTTTGAGAGAACCTAGATAGATGAGTGGCATAAATACCCACAAGGAATTTTTTTTGCATTTCTGCAAGATGTGTGCAAGGACCTGTGTCCTGACTTGGTTGTCCCTGTGTCCTTTAAAACCCCTTGAATGGGCTCTGGGTTAGGACAACACATTCAGTACCACAGATGCTGTTGCCTTACAATGCAAAAGCATTTAGGAATTAAAAATGCACTACTGATACCTGCTTTCAGCAAAAATACTGTGTCACAGGAAGTCACCTCCCTTGCTCTGAGAAAAGAAATTCAGAAACAACTCTTTCTACCCTCACTTTTACTCTGGGTTATAGCTCAGCTGTGTGCACAACAGTAAGACATAAAGCAAGACAACAACAACCCTATTTTTACACATATTTCATCAGGTACTTTATCAACATACCATCTTTCAGAGAGGTAGGCTTTTGTGTGATTATTCCCACTTACAGCTATTACTCCCACTCCTACTAATTAAAGTGCAAGTAAATCCTGCAGGTTGGGCAACAACATGGGATTTTTGGACTAATTTCAAGTGGGATATTTAAGATCTAACTTTAGAGCACTGATGCAGTGAGTTCCTCAGTGTAAAAATTCAGCCTTACCAATGACAAGGGCACTTCATGGGAGCACCAATAGTTGGTGTTTAAACATAATTTCTGTTGCTTACAAATTAGCCTTTCAATACACCAGGTTGAATTAACTAATCTTTTAAATACCAAATCAAAATCTAAGAAAAGCTACTTAGTTATGTTAATGATGGAAGACATGCACAGTTCTAAATCTAAGCCACTAAACAAGCATGGATGGACTTTCAATTTACAAGGACTAAGAAATGCCAATGAATTTGAGTTACATTTGTTCAGACGCTTTGAAAACACGCCCATATTTTTATCAATCTCAAAATCATTTAGCTGCCTCAACATGGATCTCAATTGGGTATTCAAAACCCACAAGAAAGAAAAAAAAATCCAACCTGATTCAAAGTTCTTGATTCTTTCAGTTTGAAGGACAACTTCTAAGCACATTTACTGGAATTTGAACGGGCATTTGGGAAGGGAATTGCTTGTCACTGCAGAGTGAATACTTTTACTGGCTGAGATGTTACAGCTGACACTGACAGACTCTGGAAGGAAGCTTACACACAGATCAGACCTACGTGCACAAGTCTTGGTTGGTGTAAAGAGGAGAGAGGATGTTGTAAAGAAAGAAGTGCAAATTAAAGGAGGGCCCTATTTCAACTTCTTCCTACATGTTTATAAGAGTAGAAGACAGCTGAGTTATGCTGAGTGGCGTTGCTAAGCAGCACTGAGCAGGATTATGCTCCACGTGCACTCCCTTGCCAGTCAAAGGGACATAAAAGGAATAACTTCACACTTCACAAAACCAAGTTAAACTAACACAGTTCAGTTTCCACTGCAGCTCTCTGGATGGATTATGGATGGAAGATCAGGAGCATGGAGTCACCAAGCCTTAAGGCCTTAATGACACTCGTCAGCTGCACCACACTCCTGCTCTGCTAGAGATGACATATCCAGGCTTAAGCATTTGTCACAACTAAACCACTACCTTAAATCACACTGCTGGTTTAAATAAACACATTTTTTTCTCAATAGCTGTGGGCAGAGGGCACACCCACACATGCTTGGGGGAGCAGCTCAGCTGGACAGCAGAAAACATATCCAGGTATATCAGTGACCATGTGCCCTAGGCTCATCACAGTTCAGAAGTCTCTGAACTGGGACCACCCTATCATGTATCTGTGTGCCTGCTCCACTCTGGCTCCAGCACGTCTCTCCCCTTACGTTTGTTGTCAGAAGGATAAATTTAGAGATAATTAGTGCTCGTGTGGTAAATTATGCATGAGTAAGCAGGTGAGAGTCCAAAGGTGCTGTAGCAGTTGCAGGCATACCAAAGATGGCTCAAGTTGGTTTAAAAAACAGCCGTTCCAACTCACTAGTAAAGAGCTCAGCATTATTGCCTAAATATTTCAAGCTTCATTTTTGGACATATTTATAAATGTTGGGTTTCACTGCTAATTTTTAAGCCTGACTCTATACTTGTTTTCCTTGTGCAAACAGAACTTCTACTAAAACACCAAAGAAAACGTACATCTAGGGGAGAAAGTCTGACATCTATCTATGCCACTCGTTTTGGGGACAGGGCTAAGAGCTTTACCTTTGACCAGAGAGAAAGCAGAAGAAATTATCACGTACTCGACTTTTTGGAAAAATTTCAGTGATATTCCTTTGTACAGTAAAATACCCAAGTTTTCCTTTGAGGCCAGGAATGTTGCCTTCTGCGCCAGGTTAATCCTACATACTGGGTGCCACATTCCCAAGGTGGAGAGTTGACTACAGATTTTCTATTTGGCGGCAAGCACTAGAGAGACTCATTTAGTGTAATCTCCTGCTTTGTGATATGTCTGGAATTTTCACCACCCGCAACTGGGGCAGAATTTCATGTTTTATTTTGCCAATAGTTTGTCTCCTGTTTAGAAGAGAGAAGGAGCTGCTGATGGTTTCAGTAATATTTTCACCTAAATATCTGAGACTCGTCTGACCCAGCAATTCAAAAAATTATCCGTGTGTAAGAAAAAAAAAAAGGAGAAAATGCTTTTTGACACCTAAGCGATAAATGTATTCTTTTGAAAGTCTGGTCCCAATTACTGGAGATGATCCCAGCAAATACCTATCTACATGTCTTCTAAATGTGCATGGAGACAAATTTGTGGATAATGGACTAAAATGCAGTGGAAGGAGGTGACAATTTACCTACCTTTAGCCTTAAGGAAAAGAAAAAAGCATTTATAGTATCTGGAAAAGCTAGCACTAAAAATTAACTTACTGACAGAATTCAAAGAACAACAAATAAATGTGTATTATTACTTTTGTCTCGTTTCCAATTTTTAATTATTAATCTTTTGATAGTATAAATTTATGCAACTTCCGTCTCCCAATATCATAAAAACACAAACACAAATCAGATTTGGTAATAACGAGAAACTGACTTTCACCTAAACATGAGCTGTAATTTATGGTCACAATATGGAAGACAACTTGTCTAAGAAAAGTGACACAGTAGTCTGGACTATTTTGGTCTTTGTTTGGGTTTTTTTTTTTTAAACAAAGCAGTTATTTATATTTTCCAGTTGAGCCCTCATAGCCTCAAACACTTAAACACACAATGATTGTCAAATAAAACTGCATCACAAAAGGTGGACATAGATCTTATTGCCTCTGGAGTAACCTCAATCAACCTACTAAATATTCTTCTTCCATCTTCATAAAATTCATACCAAGGAAAGGACTACTTGTTACTAATTAGAGTCCTAAAAATCAAAATTATTCATTGTATGGCCTGAGAGGTATAAACCTGAGAACTCTGCATCAAAGAAACAGTATCAGGGATGTTGTAATCCAGAAGTACTTTCCATAGTTTTTTACTAGTCACCTTGTATATCTATTAAACCTTATGGGCCTCTAACATACTTAGGAAGAGAGAAACCAGTCTTGCTGCTTACAGATTTGAACAAAACCTTTGCTGAGAGTTGCATTTCCAATGCTTTTCCTATCTTTTGCCAAATATTTGTCCTGCAGACTAGGAATTTACAGCATTTAACACCTGTTTTATTTTGAAAATGGCTTGACAGAATATTTGCTCATCCACATATGTTTGTGTCTAAATAAAAAAAATAAAATTAAAAAAGCTAAGGACCAGTGTATATAGGCTTGCTCCTCCAAAAACTTCAGGATGTCCCTCATGTATGAGTGTTAAACACATTAGTAAGCATCCCCAGTATCAAAGGTTGTAATTTTAACAAGCTGAGGTCTCTATGTCGCTCCTAACAATTTTAATTTTTACACATATCAGCTGCCTCCACAGAATTCCTAGTGAAGATGTAGTTTATGATGAAGACTTATCTACTGGTTTATCCTGCAGTCATATCAAAGAGTCTAGATAGACGTGAGAATCTCAGAGATGTGTCTTTTCACGTGTGACCCAGTAAAAGGATGCTGTCAGGCAGATTTATTCCCTTAGTTTAGGTTTACTGAAAGAATACTTGAGCTTAATACTTAATTGGAACATTTCCATCAATGTTCTAAGTGAAATATCAGTAATTTTGGTTGGTTTCCTTCTTGGATGCAAATATTATCACCCTGCAGCGCCTGTAACACGACACAGCGTAGTTACAGCAGGTCATAAGATCAGAGTACAAAACGAAGAGAAACCAAAAAGGAATTTCCAAATTCTCATTGCCCTAACTCCACTTTACCTTATTTGACTGCAATCATTTTTAGCACTGTTAAAAACAGACAGAATTTTAACATGACAGCATCCTTCTAAGTCAGACAGGTGCACACGTGCAAAAGCCTAGCCCTGCATGGTAAGGATGTGTGTGGACACGTGAAAGACATGACTAGGTGTGTACAAGCCTCCTCTACAAGTGACTAGAAGCCCCAGCAGCAGTGATACTCACGTTGGCACTGTCCCCAGGCCACCCGGGCCCAGCCCCAGCAACAGTCAATTCTGCTTCCGAAGCGACACAGTCCTGCAGACGGCACCATTTGTCTGGGCCACCTGTACAAGACAGTTCAACAAAGTCTGGTGAAACATTTTAAAAGTTCAAACCATCAAACATTTTAAAAGCTCAAATCACCCTAGGGTAAAAAAAAAAAAAAAAATTACCAACCAACCAAAAAACCCCAAAGGACAAAGAACAGCAAAAACCTCTCCTGCAGAGATACGTAATTTTTTTTTTACTTTTTTTGAAGAGAGTAACTGCTCTCAGCTGACCCTGGGATATTTCTATCATTAATACTCTGTTCACTTCAAAAAATGCAAACAACAATAGGTGAAGGGAGAAATGATAGTTTGGATAACTGAGCAAAGCCTGAAAAAGCTGACATGCTTTGCAGTATGCTCACTGCTGCCACTCCCAGGCTGGCACTGAACAGAAGTTCAGAAGTCTGAAACGGAACCTGTAGTATGGAATAAAGGCCACCATAAAGTTTAGGCTTTGTTTTCGTTCACAATATATGGCAAATTTTCTCACTGAAACATTAAAGGGGGAAAAAAAAAAGCTTCTTGGACTGTTAAACAGTTCTGTTAAACAGAAATTAAATATAAAAGGTGTGCTGTAGTTTTCCCTTGTTCCAAGGAAAAGATACCACGGCCTCAAGCAGTTACAAACTATTGACACCAATCAGTAATGTCTTTAAAGGACAGGCTGAAATGAAATCCCGTGAGCGCTGCGTTTGAACAGATGCGATTCAAAACAAAGAGAATGCCTGGGGAGGGCGGGGGTCCCGCTGGCCGCTTGTCCCGCAGGGCGCAGTGCCCGCTCCCTTGCAGCTCTGCCGGTCGCGACACTTGACACGACAGGACGCGACAGGACGGGGCACACGCGCCCCGAGCTTCGTGTCAGAACTTGAGCCGCGATCTCCGCCGCCCTACGCTGGGAGTGCCTCCGGGCGTCAATAAACTAATTTTATCTGTACAGCACGCGATGCGCTTTGTTTTTAATTCTTTCGGGACGCGGCCCCGCCAGAGCAATGAACTTATCTCGTACCTAAGCCCGAGTTCGGCGGCGCAGGGCAGGGCGGGCGGCTGGGGCCGGCAGCGCCGTGCGGCAGCCCCGGCAGCAGCACCGGCGGCCCCGCGCCTCCCTCCACCTGCGGCCCGCCCGGCCCGCACCGGGGAGCGCCTCACGCCTCCCGCCGAGGGCTCCGGCCGCCCCGCCTCGCCGGGAGCCAGCGCCGGGGGCAGGTGCCAGGCGGGAGCCCCGGGACCTCCGCAGCGCCCCGCGTCGAAAAGGGGAGAGCCAGGGCTAGCTCCGCTCGCCCCGAGGGAACGCCGAGCTCGCCCTGCCCGGCCGGCCGCCCCCGCTCTCCCCGCGCCTACCTTCTGTCAAATTCCCCGGCCGCCCCCAGCGAGAGGCAGGACGCCAGGAGCAGCCGCAGGGAGAGGTCCATGGCCGGCGGGGGCCCCGGGCGGGCGGCGTGGCCGAGGCGCTCCCGCTGCCGGGCGGGCGGGGGTCCGGCTGCCGCCCAGGCCCGCCGCGCTGCCACAGCTCCGGGGCGGCGGCGAGCTCGGCGCCCTCCCTTTCTCTTTCTCTCTCCCTCTCCCGGTCCCTGCCCGCCCGCCTGGCTGCCAGGCGGAGGAGGCGCGGCGCGGGGAGCGGCAGCGCCGCCCGACCCCGGCAGAGGCGCCCGCGGCCCGCCCGGGGCCGCCTCCCCTGCCAGGGGCACCTGGCGAGCGTGGAACACCTGGGGCGGCGGAGAGCCGCAACGAGCCCCAGCCGCTGCGGACAGCGGGGCACGAACCGGTCTGGGGGCACTGGGAAGGGTGGGCTTCCTTGTCATGAGCTTTTGTATCTCGAACTTCCTGAAGGAAGATGGTTACGCCCTCCTCTCGGCAAAGCTCCCGTCTGAAGGCAAGAAGGTTATGACTTGGCTTTCTTTTACCAACAAAACCTTCCCAACAACAAAGCTTCTTTTAAACACTTACAAGGTGGATGTGGTTTCTTCTGTCTCAAACACTCCTATTAATAGCTCTCAGGTGTGACATCAGGTGTCCAGCCCTTGTGCAGAAGAACAAGTGACAAGTTTAAACACTAACCACACAGCATGCGATGTGCTTGCACCGCTACTGACAGCAATGACTGCATTTGTACTCACCACTAATATGTTAAAATACAGCCCTTATTTTTGTTTGGTTTCTATGAACTATGGCTTTGGGACTTACCAAAGGACACTTCTAATAGCAGCCTGTCACCAGTTTAGGGTCAGAGTTGTTCTGAGATCTCTCTGATTACAGATAGCTGGGGTCAAGCACTGGGTCTGGGTTGCAGCATTTGTTTAAATTGTGCCCACATCAAGGCTAAAGCTCATCAGCTGTCCCTGCAAGAGTCTGGCTGTAGCTTAGAAGCAGAAAACAAGGATTTTCTCTGGATTGTGCTATAACACAAAGCCAAACCCTTCAGAAAGCAGTTGTATGCCAACCACGACTTAAAGTTTCAGATTTCAGCTGGTAGTTCTGTGCAGAGCATTTTCCACCCTCAAAACACTTCACAGATAATTCAAGTTATACTGCACAAAGGTGGCCATTTTTGGCACAAGATACAGATTGTGCTAGTAAGCCTTCAAAAATTACACCTTTTCTCAGAATTATTTTAGCACTTTCTGCTCACATTTGAGCAGAAGACCCCCTCCAATGCTCCTTCCCCTCTTTTTTTCATCTTTTCGTGACCATACAATCCCCAAGATAAACTTTCTGTCCACAGGATCAGCCCAGAAATTTTCAGACACAGAGAAAAAACACTTTAGAAGCTAGAAGGGAATGATTCTGCAAGGTGCTTGTGCCTGTGCTCAGATAACATGCAAGCCCTCCAGAGGACTCAGATGCAAAAACTGCACTGAGGACCAAGCCTGGTTCCCTCCATTCACATGAGAAGCTGACAGCCAAGCAGTGAATGCAGTGACACAGTGCTGTTTGGGGAAGAGAGAAGAGCATCTGGCTTGTGTTAGATCCTTGCTGAAATATAGAGCTGATTGCCAGCTCTTGACTGATTGATAATTGTTTTCTTTCACTTGGATGTGTGATGTGGTGTAACAGACCCTGCATAGTGAAATCACTGTCAAGATTTAATGGGCAAAAGGGGATACAACCTATTTGTGATAAACACAGGGATCTCTTTTTGGTAAAAGCATCTGCATGTGCCTTTCCAACTTGTAGGAAAAAAAAATGTACACAGATTACACCACTGCCAAGTCCAGGACAAGTGCCAAAAACAACATTTGAACATCATTCTGAATTAAGGTTTAGGGCAACCTGACACTTTCCCTCTCATGTCCAAAGGGACATGTCATAAAATCAATTCCTTCAACGCAATGCTGCATAATGGTACTGAATACACACAGCAACTTTAAAGCACACACTATTCCTTTAAAGCATGTTCACTCACAGATGGCAGTAAGATCATTTAATCTCTCCAGACTGCACTGAGTATTTAAGACTTCCTCAGCAGCCTGTTTGGCTCTCTTGTATGTTAATACTAGGGTGCTGGTCAGACATGGTGCCTGCTCTAATTAAGATTGTCTGCTCTTGGTTGACTTCTGCTGCCTTTACAATTTGTTTTGGAACATCAACCCAAAAAAACAGTTAACCAATCACTGAAAGATCACATATTACACTTCCATACCCATCAGTGGAACTGAACATTCACTCACTTATGAATTCATTTGTTTTGGCAATGGTTCATCATGACTAGTGGTGTTCTCCTAGCAGTTAAGACAGTTTCTCATATCCATGACAGTAGGATTACTGAGTGAGCTGTCAAAGAACCAGATCTCTGGATTAGTTAAAGGTGTGTTAAGTTGTGTGGGTATGCCTCAAGATACTATATAGAAGATGGAGATAGAGAAGTTGTTGGCAGTATGACAATAAAAAGCACTTTTGTGCCTTATGTTGAATGAAGCAGTATGAAAGTCTGGCAAAATGCAGATGCCATGGGGTGGGCTGACCTGATGTCCAGCAAGATTTAACTAACAATAGAAGTCCAGCAGCTGTGCATCAAGCACTCAGATGATTGATTAGAGCAAGTGTCCAAGCAGGTTTCTTTAAAGTTACTGGTTAGACACTTGGTTAAGCATAACATGACACTCAGGTTTTTAGCTGCAAATCAGCAACAGTGAAGCAGAAACACAGACAAAGATAGTATCTTGGATAGCAATGCTGCTATCCTTGTATATAAAAAGTCAAATCTCATAGGAAGGTGAATTTGACTGAAAAAGTGTTCATTTAATGCAAGCATAGTGATCCTTCCTGGTTTTTTTTTTTTACTCTTCTCCATTCCTGCATAATTATCTTTATGTGTCTTGTGCCAAAATAGCCACACTATCAGTCATGATCCTCATCCCAGGCTTCTAGTCTCAGAGGTATATTGAGCTCAGATTGAGACCCTTCTATGCAAATCAAGACTCTAAACTTGATAAGATACACTGTGTTGAAAGCAGAGGAAGAGTTGAAAATACTTGCAGCTGAAAAAGCTTGCATCTGACCATGCCATTAGCAAGCCCATTAGGTTCTGAATTATCTATAATTTCTGAGGGAATCAAGTCCCAGGTACATATCCTATTGCTGTATCCTGCACCATAAGTGATGAAGGCACATCTGACTGCGCACAAATCCGAATCCTGGTGATAAGGCAGCAGAGAGTGAAGAAATGCTTTGAGAGAGGGGCTTGCTAATTCTGCTGCAGGGAGGGTAAAGGTGGTAAGGGCAACTGCTGCTTCTGGGACAGAAAGTGTGACAGAGTGACATCTGGCACACTGCAGTTTAACTACACATGGGGAAACGTGTTCAATGCACTGGTCAGGACAGTAGTGATGTTTCAAAAATCCACAACAGTACAGTGTAGAGTATATTTGGAGTGTATACTCCATTAAAGAATCAAGAATCACTGTCATGAGCCATACATGTAACTGGTAACATAAGGAACATCAACTAAAAACACGTGTAGACAACAGGAAAGCCAGTTCTGTGGAAGACAACCTTGTGTGCTTGGGACCTGCTCCTCTCTAACAGCACTACTTACATTTACTTCACCTGGGGTAGGCTGTGTCCAGCAGTCTCAGTGTTCCAAACTTCTGCTGCAGAATTAACTCCAGGTTTTTTTATGTTCTTTGTTGCTATAACGTTCCCGAGGGAGAAAACTAACAGAACAGAAACAGTTTCCAGAATACTCCCTGGCATCATCTGGACGGGCAATATTAAAAAAAAAAAAAAAAAAAAAAAGAGCTGTAAAGATACAAGTGGCAGATATTTTAGGCTGACAGATGTTGGTAAATATGGTAGATAGAATATGGTAGATATGACAGAAATCACACAGAAATAAATTTAACATTTATCTTCATTGTTACACATACCTATGAATTGAACATAAACACACCAATAGAAGATTTTGCTTTCAGGGTATTCTTCTGCCAACTAACTTTTCTTTGAGGAAGGTATTAAATAAGTTCTTTCGAGTCCACTTTCCTAATATTGACTTCCTCCTTGTCTTAAAGCACATTATGAATGTTAATAAATCAAGTCCTCTATTCAGCAGAATCAGTGAATAACACTACCACTTACAAAAGCAGAAATTAAGGAACAGAAAAATTACTTTTCCACAAATCAAATAATCTGTCATCAAATCAGGAACAGATCTCTTGTTTTTCAATTTCATACTTACACCACAAATCCATCCTTCCTCTTTTCTAGGTATTTCACTCTCGTTGAGGCTGAGAAAGTTGACCATAAATCCCACATTATCCCAAGTCACTAAATCACACCACAACTTGTGTAAAAACCACTTGATTTGCAGTTGATGGCAAGCAGGGTTACAGTCTGCATTTGTGCTGTTAATGTAACAAGTATAGTTCTTACAAAATGGAACAGAAGGAAAGAATCCAAGTCCAAATTTCCTATGAGACTTTCAATGTCACTACTTTTCCTCTGGGGCTATGCAATTCTATGGTATATTTAAAAGTAAAATTTATTAAGTAAATATTATCTCTGTCACATGGCACATAAAAATCTCTATGACTCCCATGCTAATAAGAAAACTATAAGGTATCAAGGAAATACAGCAATTCAATCAGCTAAATCACTCTTATACTCCATCTCTCTCTTAGTAAACCTTCTTGAAAGGGTAAGGAAATCATTCAACCTGTCAGACACTGTAGTATCCAATTACCTTCTATGCAGATAAACCCTGTGCTTTGGATACTAGTTCAAAAGTTTCCATATGCTTTTTCTGCATGAAGTCTTCCAAATTAATTTGGTTTTTTCCAGTAAGCTTTTTCCACATATACTTGATCGTTCTTTAAACACTATGATTAGTATTTGTGTTGAAGTTTACTGCATTTCATTACAGTGCAAAGAAATTATCTTCCCCTCTAAATAAACAATAATTTGCCTTTCAAAACTC